TCTGGGCCTTAGTACCCGAAGGAGGTCGGTAGATCCCTCCAATCAAGTATTTCGTGCCATTCGAGTGGAAACAACACCAACATGATTCTGTCACCTCAGTTAGTTGGGTGTCGTATAGTCGCTCTGCTTTTAAGTTGCTATATGTATATATCGCCATTCCACCTCCAGTCTGGTGTTCCCTATCGCTTCGGAAGAGTGTCATGCCTGGCAAGCTCACTTCTGCGTCTGCAATGTCAGGGGATAGCCATGTTTCTGTTAGGATTATGATCTTCAGATCCATCTGAGAGCGCATATTCCTGACTTCTAACAGCTTACCCCTTAGTCCTCTTACGTTGCTATAGAGGCACTTGGTGGTTTGTCTCTGAACCTGGTGCACATTTCCAGTAGCGGCCGTTATCGGATTTTCAGACAAGTTATTTAAACCGAATCGGCAGGTGTTTTGACTGCGCGGTCGGTTCAGTCATATCTTGTGCCAGAGGCCAGTTCCCACAGAACTGGCCGAATCGGTTTAAATAACTTGTCTGAAAACCTGACTAAGGCTGATGCTGCAAATGTGCACCAGGTTCAGAGACAAACCACCAAGTGCCTCTATAGCAACGTAAGAGGACTAAGGGGTAAGCTGTTAGAAGTCAGGAATATGCGCTCTCAGATGGATCTGAAGATCATAATCCTAACAGAAACATGGCTATCCCCTGACATTGCAGACGCAGAAGTGAGCTTGCCAGGCATGACACTCTTCCGAAGCGATAGGGAACACCAGACTGGAGGTGGAATGGCGATATATACATATAGCAACTTAAAAGCAGAGCGACTATACGACACCCAACTAACTGAGGTGACAGAATCATGTTGGTGTTGTTTCCACTCGAATGGCACGAAATACTTGATTGGAGGGATCTACCGACCTCCTTCGGGTACTAAGGCCCAGAAAAGCAAACTGGTTGAGGTAATACTGCAACTGCCACTCCTAGGGTTTGATCAAATACTCTTAGCTGGAGATTTCAATACCCCATCTTTAAATCTCAGTAATCAGAGTATAACTCCCACTGGTTGGTTCCAAAGACAACTTGGTACAGCCATTAGAAGCTCTGGGCTGACTGAGCACGTACGCAGTGCCACTAGGTGGACTAAGGAAGGGAAGTCCTCAAACCTAGATTATCTGTTAACGAATGACCAGCTCCTGGTTGAGGATGTTCACGTCCGCGCTCCAATAGGTAGTAGTGACCATGGCACAGTCCTGTTTAACATGGTCACAAACGAAACACTGGCACCGGACGATAACGAGCCTTACCTTTGCCACAGTAGGGCAAACTACACACGCATGAGAGAGGTGCTACTACATGCCCCATGGCCACGGGAGTGGCGGAGGCTGACAGTAGATGATCACTGGTAAGCAGTGAGAGATATCATCCAAAACGCTGTCGTAGACAACGTACCTCAATCACACCCAAAACGCGAGAACAGAAGAACCTGGGTTAGGCGCGGCACTGAACGCTTGCTACAGGCGAAGAGGAAAGCCTGGCACAAGTGGAAGGTCTCCTTGAAGGATTCCGATCGCAGTTCTTATTTGGCATTGAGAAACAGATGTAATACCAAAGTTCGAAGCGACAGGAGACAATTCCAGACGAAGCTAGCCGCCAAAATAGAGGCAAACTCGAAAAATCTGTTTAGGTTCATGTCCAAAAGAAAACCTACTAATCAAGGGTTGTGTTCTCTAAAAGGACCAAACGGAGGAGACCTCACCAACCTAGAGATGGCCGAAATCTTCAACACCCATTTTTCTGATCAATTAAACCAGGGGCCTACATGTTCAGAGTATTACGCCAACCCAATGCCAGCTGACGGCTTAGGGAACATCCGTATCACTCCTGACCTAGTATTAAGGAAACTAAAATCCTTACGCCCAGGAAAGTCACCAGGTTGTGACAAAATTCGCCACATAGTCTTGCTACAATGTGCAGAAGTCCTCCTGAAATCTTATTCTTATTAGCATTAAAATTTTCTCCTTATTGTTCTCCACATTGCAACTAACTGGTATTCGGACTGGTAATGCGATAGCTGCTGGTATCCAAAAGCCCTACTGCCTTGAAACAAAGGTGTTCATTCAAATCATGGCACATACAAACTCATAAACAACTTCCAACAGACTAAAATCAGGCAGTCGAGTGAGTAGGCCTCTCACCGACGGACAATAACAATCACGTGTCAGCATATTGAAAAAACGAGAATCAAGTATGTCGTAATCAACTGATTTATTGTAGGGCGTGTAAATGGTGTTACATTTTGGAGTCAGCTGCTTCATATGGATTCGGTAACTTTTTCACATCTCTTGTGTTTGTGAATGAATGATTTTCTGTTGAATAATCGTTTGATCATTTAAAACTACAACTCAGTTCTGGGATGTCTAATTATGAATATAGCTTTATGTTTTGATTACAGTTTCATACCATATATGATTCTAAGGTGTATTGTTTTTTTTTGTATGAGTCATTCATACAGTGAAATCCAGGATTACCGGTTGATGTGCAATTTTCACTCTCAATACTCCTTTGTTCATTTACTAGATATACATCTTTTACCCTTTAACTCTCTCAGTGTAGTGTCAATGCAGCTGCTCTTGTTATTCATATGCAGCAACATTTCTAGTAGCTCAAGAATTCCGGGAATGATATGAAGTCCGGCTTTTTCGGCTTGATTCATGCTTGTTTGTTGGTTTTTTTTAAAATGATGTGTAAATTTTGAGGATAACGCTAAAAATCAACTCGACTTATTGTTTATAGTCACTAGAGTACTGTAACCATCAAGGATATTTACGACATCATTTTATGAGACTGTCTTATCTTTGCTTATGATACAGCATTTGATGATTGAGTGCTACAATTTTACACATATTGCGCTCGTTTATTTCAAATTTATTCGTATTTATGGTTGTACACATAATTTTAAATCTAATACTGAACCTCCGACAAATTTTGATCGATAAGTCACCTTAGTATCAGCATAACTATTTGAGTAGGACACATTTATTTTAGAAAAATCATGTTAATAGTACGGTAATGATCATTGATTCATACTAATTAATTGAGAAGATGCGTTTAGCTGTGAGCTTCATTTAAACCAATTGACGAATAGAATGCACATTAACTTATGGAACACTGGTTTGACTGGAACTTCAATCACCTTGTTTGTTAAATTTCTGGAAGAAGCCAAATGCCAAAAATATGTAATTTTATCATTGTGTTGCCATTGCTAATTATTTGGAAACAATAAGTCTACTGTGGACACACTGACGTTTCACGTTTGGAGAAGAAATGAAACTAAGATTTAGTTGATGGAAATGTGAAAATTGTTCTCGACTATTATGCATAAGTTATCTTTTAAAGTAGACTGTTAGTAGTTGAATTTATTTACCAAGTACATTTCGGAATACTCAGTTTTAAGCCAAACTTTGAGTTAGTAGTACTATACTTGGCATATCAAACCAAAGTAACTGAGCTGTGTTCCATTTTTCGACTGTGGTTAGAACTCATATGCTTCAATTACTAATTGTGTATTTTTTTTATTAATACCTGATGACTTGTAAAGTGTCATTTGTGTGGAAATAACATGAACATGATTCTGTCACCTCAGTTAGTAAGATGTCGTATAGACGCTGGGCTTTAAAATGGCTGTTTATATATAGACACTCCACCTCCTGTTTGGTGTAACCTGTCGCTTCTTAAAAGTGACATGCCTGGCAAGCTAACTTCGTCGTCTTCAATGTCAGGGGATAACCATGTTTCAGTTAGGATTATGATCCTCAGATCCGTCTGAGAGCACGTATTCCTGATTTCTAACAAACAGCCTACCCCTTTTTTTCTCCCACGTTACTGTAGAGGCAATTGGTGGTTTGTCTCAGCACCTGGTGCACCGCTGTAGCAACAGCCGTTGTCGGATTTTCAAGCAGGTTGTTCAAAACGAGTTGGCCAGTTGTCTGAGGACTAGCTTCTTGAAGGTTTTTTGCCTCTGCAGCGATTTCTATCGTTTTTTGTGCCACTGGTTGTTGACCGAGTTCAACTCTCAGTTTATTGCGTTCATTGTGGCCTCCCTTCTGATGTCTCACATATCTAGGCCGGATTTCGTAACAAGTGACGTAGGTAGGCAGATGGTTCTTCGAACTGTACCAAGCTTCGAGTGTATCAGTCAGGTTTTGCCGGTTCCTAAATATCACAGTCATCAGTCGTGGTGACTTGATGTACGTAAGGTGTGACGGGCGGGGCAACTTAGAAACGCAAACAGCCATCGTGGGATCGCCTAGGGATAGGCTAGGCGACGGCCATCGCCACTGTTGCACATCATGCACATGAGCTTCTTCCAAGTTACCGTCATTGAGTTCGGGTACGACATGAATTAGCATGGTGGCCTGCTCTTGGGTGCCTATTGTTGTCCTCGCTGCCGCTCGAACCGACCACGGCTTGTCATGCATGATGCGAATAGGCGATGACAATCTGACCGATGGTCTTCGGGATGAAATGATGATGTCTCCAGCAAGTCGTACCGAATCAAGAGTTACCCTCAATGGAGTGGTTTTCTTTCAATTACTAATTGTGTATTTTTTACTAATACCTGATGACTTGTAAAGTGTCATTTGTGTGGAAATAACACCACCTTGATTCTGTCACCTCAGTTAGTAAGGTGTTGTATAGACGCTCGGCTTTTAAATGGCTGTTTATCGACACTCCACTTCCTGTTTGGTGTACCCTATCGCTTCGTAAGATTGACATGCCTGGCAAGCTGACTTCGTTGTCTTCAATGTCAGGGGATAATCATGTTTCATATCATATATAACAACAACAACAAATTCAGAATAATATGAGTAGTACTAACGCAGTAAACCGTATTTCCTAAATGTAAGTGTTTCAACAACACTGTACACAAATATCATTCTTTGCTTATGATTACTGACATGCATGTATCATAACTTTGTGATTCTTCTGCCTTTTTTTTTCTGTTTTTACTAGTAAACCCCCATATATAAATTATTATTCCAAAATGCTTAAATGAATTTCTGAGTTAGTGTATCATCACCACTATACGCTATAGTTCTGTATATATATATATGCAATCTGATCGATAATTGTACTTACTGTGTATAGCAGCAGCACCAAATGAATTCGTTAGGTTTACAAACATATGTAGAATTATTTCATTTTCCATCATTAGCTCAATCAAATGTTTTCAATTTAACTTATATGAAATCTGATCATGTGATGAAACGATTAAAACATAATCGTAAAACATATGATATATTGGTTGCCTTCTTTCGTCCAGGTAAGTATTATTATACTCTGATTTATATTATTTATTTAAAAATGTAGTAAGCGATCCAATAGCCAGTAAATATGCTTTCAGTATACATCATTTCGATGTGGAAGACAGAATTATTCAACCAATAACGAAAACTATTGATTTCGCTTATTTACCAGGTTTTTATAAGGATTATACTATTATTGATTTTTTTAGGTGCTTCAGATATAGTTTGTATAAATGCATTACATGATGAACTAACTGATGAATATTTTGTTGCAATTGGTTTTGTAAAGGTAAGTGAAAAAAAAGAAATTCACAATATATATATGTTCTATTACTTATTTTTTTAAGGAAGGTGAAAAAGGATATCTTAATATATATAGATCAAAATCAGAAGAAAAATTACCTGGTATGTTTTTGACACAGAAATCAATGAATAAAGTTAATTATTCTATACAGAGAATTGTTTGAGTTATTCCAAATTACCATGTGCACCACTTCATTTAACTCATGCATAGTAAGTTATAGTTTAAATGTTGATTAAGTTTATATTTATGTGAGTTACTGTATTCAGTAATTATATATTTTTGACACATTTGAAATCATCAATCAATCATTGTTACTAGACCACCATTAGAAACCTGGGAGCACTAGACGACGGCCGTTTCGTCCTGGTATGGGACTCATCAGCGGCAGTGCGCATCCACGACTCCTGCTCCTCGCAGGATTCGAACTCAAGACCTATGGCATTGTAGGCGAACGCCTTACCATCGGACCACTGGGCCGGCATCCAACGGTTCTAATGTCTAACTCTGGTGATCTGCTAATGGGTCCCATACCAGGATGAAACGGCCGTCCAGTGCTTCCAGGTTTCTAATGGTGGTCTAACAATGATTGATTGATTTCAAATGTGTAAAAAATCTCAAACCTCCAAAACTGCGCCCCAAAATATCGTAACAGTGCTCACTAATGACTAGCTTCGTGAGGAAATTCTCGGAGTTCTAGTTGAGAAGACGTGACCAATGGAGTTGAACCCTGTCGGGTGTAGGCAGTAACTACCAAAGACAAATGGGTGAGGTCGCGCAAAATACCTAGATCAATCAGAGTTAGACATTAACACCGTTGAATGCCGGCCCAGTGGTCCGATGGTAAGGCGTTCGCCTTATGGTGGTCTAACAATGATTGATTGATGATTTCAAATGTGTAAAAAAATCGCAAACCTCCAAAACTGTGCCCCAAAAATATATATGTAGAAAAAAAGGAGATGAAATATTTCCATGTTTTTAATAGAAATGTTAATGTTTCTGCTTTATACGTATATGTATATGATTCAACCGTTGTAATTATAAGTTTTATGAACTGTCACATGAGAAAAAAAGTATTCAAGTCTACTGAGATTACAAATATATAAAACAGAATGTATGCTTTTGTGGATAAAGCACACATTCATGTCAGTAGGTGTGGACTACCTGGTTGGGGTTCACGAGGTGATCTCTAATCGATGGTTAGAGACCTTGAGTGACATAGCTCAAAACCGTCTACAATGGTGCATGTGCATTCATTCTTTGTGGTCTCTCAAATCTTAAACTTCTTAATTCGTCATCACTTTACATTTTTCTTTTCAAGTTAATTTCACTAGATTCTACTTTTTGAATGATATCTTCGAACCCTAATCTTGTAATTACTGCTAACACTTCTGCTACCTCTACTACTATGGGATTTGAATTGACAATTGTGTCTCTGTGCTAATGTGTTGGTATGGCAACTTCAACTAATGTATGTACGTACGAAGTTCTACGTTGTTGATTGATTGACTGGTTGAATGTATGTATTCAGAATACCCCAATACATGGGAAACCTAGTTAAAATTGCATGTTTTCTCACTGCATATAGCTACTATCTTATCTTACGTTAAGAAAATGAGAGTAAAGCCAATTTCTCGGGTCTTCTGTTTATGGTGCTTGAATATTGCGAAAATAAAGTGTTTTACATTGTTTTGAATTCAATAGCTATTCTTGTTTATCTAATCAATTCCCATTAGATTAGACCGTTAATTTATGTTCTATTTTTTTTTGGTTTTTAGTTGTCTCGTTAAAGACGAACACCAATGGGCATTCTTTCTATCCTATGGTGAACCTTTTAGCGATAATCTAAATGAGAGTAAGTTCTGTAACGACAATTTCTGCAGTATTTTTTTTCCATCCAGTATTTCCCAAATTTGCATAGTGAATTTAAATTGTTCAGAAATGAACAATTTGTCATCATTAGTCTATTTTAAATGGTCATAAACTCACAGTTATGAAAACTTTGTGTGAATGATTAATATTTACTTTGTTCACAACCTAACTGATTAACAAATTTTTGAAGTTAACGATTTCAGGCATATAAATTAGTTTTTTTTATTATGAACTGGAATCACTTCGGGGACTGTTGAAAGCTAAGAACTATACTATTACTGAACTATTGTGTAATCGTGATCAGATTGAAACTATACCCTTTGATCGTCACGTTTGAAGAGATCGATTATTATGGTACTTGGGTTTCTATCCGGAGTTAGTTCTCTTGTTTAATCTTAAAACATCTGTTCAAACAAATCGTTCTCCATCTTATGATATATCGTTATCTTCAAGACTAAGAATGTTAAGTTGAAAGTGGGAAATCAATTCTTCATTTGTACCTTGTACAGTTTACTGATCGAATTATTTTTATTTTATCTATCTTGTTAATTATGATCAAGAAGCGTATAACTGTTCACTTTACATTAAACTAATTATTCTGATTTCGAACTGTACAAATTCAACTAAACTAAGTCTGTTTAAGATTAAGACGATAGTCACCGATCGTTAGAGTCCTTGAACAACATGGCACAGGTGCATCCACTCTTTGTGTTCTATGAAATTCTAACCTTTTGAATTCCTCATAATCTCTACCTTTCTCCTTCTAAATTTATCTTACTGAATTATACTTCTTGAATCATATCTTCGCTCTTTAATCTTCTCCATTACTTCTATTATTGCTATCACTGTTGAATTTGAACTGACAGTTGCGTCTCTGTGCTGATGTGGGGCATGGCAACCTGAACTGATGTACTCTTATGTACGAAGTTCTGCCTTGTATCTGTCTGTCTGTCTGTCTGTCATGAGTCCTAACATTTATTTATTCATCGTAGTAAGTAAAGTTGACATTCTTTTATTCTCTCGTACTATTCGCTTATCTCGAGGCCCAACACAATATCATGCAGTTACTTTGCTACAGTCAGTCAGTCAGATGCAACGTAGAACTTCGTACGTAAGTACATCAGCACAGAGATGTAATTGTCAATTCAAATCCAATAGTAGAAGAGGTAGTAAAGGTGTGAGAAGTAATCGGAGAGGTTAGTATTCGAAGATATTATTCAAGAAGTATGATTCAGTGAGATAAGTTTAGAAAGTCAAAACTAGAGGTGTTGAAGAATCCAGAAGATTAGGATTTGAGAGAACACAAAGAATAAATGCACCGGCGCCATTGCAAACGATTTTGAGCCATGTCATTCAAGGTCTCTAACCATCGATTATTATCATCTCGCGGACCCCAACCAGGTAGACTTTGCTACACACTGTACTATCTTAATTCCAATCATTTATGCTGACATTTTTTTCTGTTAATTTTTAATTTAGACAAAACTTCAAATCAACCACAAGTTAGAATATTCTCTAAACTAATTGATATTGTAAGTGATATTACAAATTTATGATAAATTTTAAGTATAAATATTATATTATTTATAGATATTCTTGACCGAGTTGAAATTAACTTGTAGATTATCAAAACAAAATTTTCAATAATTATAGCAGTCTTATTGATTAACAAAGAGTGCTTCTATGTCTACTATGTACCACTTATTGTTTTTGTACGTTCAATGTTGACCTCCTTGTGGTGCAGTTGAACGGACCTGTGAACTAACTTTGATAGTTGGTGTAGATCTCAAAACAAAGCTCGACGAGGCAGTCAGTGGTTGTGCATTCGTAACACATGTCCCAAACACCTCGACTGAAGAAGTTTCATTACTTCATCTATTGACCTGCCGTACTTACCTTGTACCACTTTCGTAACAATAGGATTGCTTACTCGATAGTCCCAAGATAAACGAGGAATGCTTTAGAGACACCTATGATCGAAAACCGGTAACCTCAAACTATCCTCTACTCTGACTGGCCATGTTTCACAGCCATAAAGTAGGACGAAGTGAACTGCTGGAAAGTTAACCCATCGTTTGGACAGACATCTCGCCTACGCTATAAATGACCCGAGTTGGGAAAAGCCAGTCTGTATCCGCTCTGAAATTTTGTCAGACTCCAGGCCATCAGCACTGACGAGTCTCCCGAGATAATGTGAAGTGGTAAACACACTCAATTGCTGCACTTCATACTACTAGTTCCGGTGTTGATACAAGTCAATCCTGAAACAGCATTTTGCATTTGGACAGGCATAATCGCATCCTCAATATGCACCGTCATTAAACTCCAACTTATACGCACAAAAGTTAAACATCATAAATTCTCTTTGTGCGGTGGTCATTGATTGTCATTTTGTAAATTAAATAATGTGAATGATAATATGTTATAATCCAGTATTAGGTGACACTTTACGCACAGTTGATTTTTCAGCCGTTTGATTATAGTGTACACTTGTAGTTAAAAATTTTATTTTATTTCATGTATTAGATATCATCTAAATATACTGAGATGCTATTGTTTATATAATTAGGACAAAGAACACTACAGTAAATGTATTACTAATGACTACATCCCGTATTTTTCACAATAATTCAGTGTTTATGACAATATATCGTAGTATTAGTTAGGTGGAATATTGAATCACCCATTGTTACTCTCTCACACAAAATTTAAGCTTTCAGGTCACTATATGTGGAATAGTAGTAGTGATCTTTCATGTTTTACTTATATTACTGGGTCAACAATCAATCGTCCCATGTAAATTCTTGTTTCATGTATCATTAGTAATTTTTGAAATCATGAATCGATCAATGTTAGACCACCATAAGAAACCTGGAGGCACTGGACGGCCGTTTCATCCTGGTATGGGAATCCTCAGCAGTGCGCATCCACAACTCCTGCACCGTTAGATACCGGCTCAGTGGTCTATCGGTTAGTGCGTTCGCGCACAATACCGAAGGTCCTGGGTTCGAATCCTGCGGGGTGCAGGAGTGTTTGTTTCATTTACCATATTTTTTCAAAGTTGTCATCGATAAGTTGAACTTGTTGTATCTTCTTACTATTAGAATATTTTTGAACAAGTTGAAACGAATGAAGATCCGAAGCCGTCCGAATTAAATCAATCACAAACTAGTCATTCTACTACAGCTTATGGTGAATTATCATTTAACACCGCTATGGTACTTTTCCCAGAGTTAACAAAATTACCAACAACATCAATGTAAGTTTTATTCAATACAAAGTGGTTAGATAAACAAAGAAGTCAACTTGAATAATTTTATTTCCTACAAACAATAGAAAAGAACTTAATTTGTGGCACAGTTTTGGAGGTTTGAGTTTTTACACATTTAAAATCACCAATCAATCATTGTTAGACCGCTATTAGAAACCTGGAAGCACTGGACGGCCGTTCCTCCTGGTATGGGACTCATCAGCGGCAGTGCGCATCCACGACTCATGCTCCTTGCAGGATTCGAACCCGGGACCTTCGGCATTATAGGCGAACGCCTTACCATCGGACCACTGGGCCGGCATCCAACGGTGTTAATGTCCAGTGCTTCCAGGTTTCTAATGGTGGTCTAACAATGATTGATTGATGATTTCAAATGTGTAAAAACTTAATTTGTGCCAATGGATGATCGTTTGAAAATTCTTATTCTATTGAAAAACAAAGTTCTAGAAGCTGATCGATGAACAATATTTTTGATAAATTTACATCAATTTCTCTAAAAGAATAATACTTTACTTTCAAAAAGATGCAGTATACAAATTTAAGATCTCTATTTATATAAAATAGGATTGATAGTCATCTATCTATCTATCAGTTACAACGTAGAACTCTGTACATGATTACATAAGTTCAGGTTGCCATACCGCATCAGCACAAAGACGCAACTGTCAATTCAAATCCCATAGTGTTAGCGGTAATTAGCAGTAATGGAGAAGATTAGGGTTCGAAGATATGATTCGAGAAGTATAATGTGATTGTATAAAATAAGTGGAATATAGTTAAATCCATCTTATTTAGGACTCATCAGATAAATATATTTTCATCTCAATGTCGATAGTCATACCGAAAGTTGAACTCGAAACCTTGCACGTCAAATGCCCAAACCAAATCATTCACTTCACAACTAAGTTTTGATATCCATTCCTACAAAAGTTAAGAATTATATTTCAATTGGTACAGGTTTTTGAATAACCTAGTTATTGATATTTTCAACTGACATTACGTCAAAAATTACAGTGTGTAATTAGTGGATATGAATTATGGCGTGTATGTTAATTTAATTCTTTATAAGCTTAAAACAGGAGTAATAATGATGATAATATTTGAACAAGATAAATTTGAGATAGGAAAACTCGAAGGGGGAGAATTGGGTGTACATTTTTAAATAATAATAGCATTGATACCAATTTTTCGCTAACGGTTTGAACTTACTTTAGGTTGTAAGAAAGCTAGGGGCAGCCAGAACAAATCATGGCACAAATCCATGAAATCACTGACAACTGGACTGAGTCATGTTGGTAGATGCAGGCCACCTGGTTGGGGTCTGCGAGATGAAAGTAACCGATGGTTAGAGACGTTGAATGACATGACTGAAGATCATTTGCAATGACACAGGTTCTTTCACTCTCTGTGTTCTCTCAAATTCCTACTTTCTGAATTCCTCATCATTTCTATCTATCTCACTGAATTATAGTTTTTGAATAATATCGTCGATCCCTAATATTCTGCATTACCGCTAATTGTTCTACTATCTCTACCACTATGGGATTTGAATTGACAGTTGCGTCTCTTTGATGATGCGGTATGGCAACCTGAACTGATGTACTTATGTGCGAAGTTCTACATTGTAACTGACTGACTGACTGACTAGACTTTCTTTTGTTCGATTTTCATGTCAAAGTGTTTGTTCCTAAACCTTCTCGAGCACTTAGTTATAATATAATCCATTTAAACTAAACATCAGTTTTTAAATTAAGTACTAAGTTTTGTATATTCCTCTTTTGATCTTCTATTCTTTTCAGTTTCCTACATATGGATTTTAAAATCATTAATAATCTACGTCTTTCAGCTTTTGGTTCACAAGATGGATGGTTTGGTTTATTCGTTGTAGATATGCAATCTCGTAGTATGTTGCTTTTGTTTTTTATTACCCAACTGGTTTAAGTGCATATTCTAGTACTGTTTTCGTAAATTCGTACCATGTAATGATTAAATTCCTTTTTTCCCGACCAAGTTTTTGTTATGAAACGTTTTATTCTATATTTCTAACTGTTATTACTTATATGACGGACACTTTCTCCTTTCGGTGAACAACACTGACAGGTAGATAGGTTCAACGCAGAACTTCGTAAGTATGTACATTAGTTCAGGTTGCCATACCAAATCAGCACAGAGACGCAACTATCAGTTCAAAGACAATAGTGGTAGCGTTAGTAGTAGTATTAGCAGTAATGGAGAAGATTAGGGAGCGAAGATATGATTCGAGAAGTATAATTCAGTGAGATAAATTTAGAAGGAGAAAGGTAGAGATTATGAGGAATTCAGAAGGTTAGAATTTCAGAGAACACAAAGAGTGGATGCGCTTGCGCCATTGCAAACGATTCTGAGCCATATCGTCCAAGGTCTCTAACCATTGGTGACTTTCATCTCGCGGACCCCAACCAGGTAGCCTACATCTACCAACATGACTCAGTCTACTTGTCAGTGACTCCATGGATTTGTGTCATTATTATGGTTTGGCCGCCTACTCCTACATCACAAAATATAGCTCGTCGAGGCAGTCTGTGGTTATTCATATTTAACACATGTCCCAACCACCTCAACTGATGAAGTTTCAATACTTGATCTATTGAAATGCTAAATGTATTTATTATGTTTCGTTAATCAGTCCATTACACTGTAACTTTATATACTTTGATTTATTGATTACAGCGTTTTCAGCTGACTAAATATTACGTGTATGGAAATTTTTGTCTTTTCTTATTTTTCAATCAGCAACTATACGCCATTTCAATTTATCTCATGAATCACCAATCACATGTATCAAAATATTTCAGCAATTCAGTGGATTAAATTTGGCTTCACAAGATGTAATCAAAAATGACGAAGGTAGTTTATCCTGTTAAAATTTAACTAGTTGTACTGTAAAATATTAATAATAATAATAATCTCTTTATACAGTGATATATATTTAGTGCGATAAGAAATTCTATACAAGTTGATTCTCATAAATGTATCTTTTATATAAATCAGAGTATCGTCCTGATACATGGTTGATATTGAAAATCTAAAATCATTTTACTTGAGTGTTAGGTAAATGGTACGATTTTTCATTATGTCGGTGAAAAAAATTCTGTAGTTGTGAGTTTGGACTATATCCATATGTAGGGGTATTTGTCACCAATTAGCATCAGTTACATTGCATATCCATCAAAGACTGGCAAATTGTTAGGCAATATTAAGTATGTATGGAAGTTGGACGCAAACGCCATTGGATATCAACTTAGTGGTCTAGAGGTTAGACTATTGCGCTGGAAACCGAAGGTCTTGGCTTCAGTCCCGCCGCATGTGTGATCGTGAATGCACACTGCTATATCAGAAGGAGACGAATGTCCAGTGCTTCTAGGTTTACACCGGTCGCATAACATTGATCGGTTCGTAATTTCATTGAAACACAACCTTTTACTAATAGTCTGTAAATGTTTGGGTCGGGTAATAAGGATCGACTTAGAAGGATGAGTTGGTATAATGAATCAAGGTCAGGGTTTTCATCATAAACTGACGTCAGACATAATGTAATGGTGGTTTGCAACTTTTTTATTCACTTACAGTTGATATTTAGAGTTAAGAGTTGAAGTGGGAGGACATGATTTAGTGTACACTGGCGTCGTGTTTTTTCTTAACGCAAAATATGCATCAGGAGCAGGTACTTTTTTTAATTCGGTTTTAAATCCGCGTTACATCCATTTTAGTCGTGTGGTGTCATTTATCGATTTCAAGTATTTTAGGCACTAACTATTCCCGCCTAGTTGATGCTAACATATAAGCTGTTAGTGTAGTATGCATTTACTCAGAATTTTATTTCATGTCACAAATATTTAAATGATGCGTGTTAGCTGTATAATACGTTTGTTTACCTTTTCTCTGTGAATTACATTGTTAAAATTAACAAAATTGTGATATTTAGTAAATTAATATATTGTGAATACTGAATGCTACGGTCGTTTTATTTATACATAATACTACCCGGTTATCGAAACCGAATTAGGTTGTCGGCGTTTGAATCTTTGACGTAGTGGTTGAAATTCGGACATTCTAACCACTAAGCCAGTGCCAAGTGTTTGCTATCTAAGTGAACTTGATTATGTTTATTCTTGGGTTTGGGGTAGGAAAAAATCCAAAGTTCTTTGTTTAACCTCTAATGAAATTTGAAATAGTTGCCTTAGAAATGAAGTTGCTTTTCAGAACCTTTTTCTAGTCCTAATTGTGAAAGTTCTTTTGTATTATTCATGAGGTTATACAGATATGCATAACTAGCTTGCTCATTTATGTTTAGTTCTTTAAGGTTCATTTTTATGGTTATAAAATAAGTTAATGAACAGCATTCTATGGTAGTTGAGCCCGAAGTGGTTGGTAGTTTAATGTTTGATAAACTGTTTAACTTTCAGTAATTAGACCACAGGTCTGAATCCTGCTTCACAGTTGAGTAGAATATCATTTAACTCCAAAAAGTGTGCTTCGAAATTATGTTCCTTAACTTTTCTTTTACCTGATCATGATTGACTAATAATTATAACCATACGCTAAATTAACTCAGTGTTATTGGTAATCATTTAACTCAGTTAGTCAGTAAGATGCAACGTAGAACTTCGTACGTAAAAACATCAGTTCATGTTGCCATACCACATCAGCACAGAGATGTAATTGTCGATTCAAATCCAATAGTAGAAGAGGTAGTAAGGATATTAGAAGTAATCGGAAAGGTTAGAATTAGAAGATATTATTCACGAAGTATGATTCAGTGAGATATAAGTTTAGAAAGTCAAAACTAGAGGTGTTGAAGAATCCAGAAGATTAGGATTTGAGAGAACACAAAGAATAAATGCACCAGTGTCATTGCGAACGATTTTGAGCCATGTCATTCAAGGTCTCTAACCATCGATTATTATCATCTCGCGGACCCCAACCAGGTAGTCGACAATTACCGACATGGCTAAGTCCACTAGTCAATGACTTCATGGATTTGTGCCATGTTTTGTTTTGGCCGCCCCTAACTTTCTTCCAACTTACTGTTACGCTACAAAACAAAGCTCTTCGAGGCAGTCGGTGGTTAGGCATACGCAGCACATGTCCCAACCACCTCAACTGATGAAGTTTCAATACTTCATCTATTGATCTGCCATTCTTACCTAGCACCCGTTTCCTAATAACAGTGTTACTCACTCGGGTGTCCCAGGATATACGAGCAATGCTTCGAAGACACCTATGATCGAAAACAAATAACCTACGAATATCTTCTACTCTCACTGGCCATGTTTCATAGCCATAAAGTAAGACGGATCGAACTACTGTACAGTACGCTCGTCCTTTAGTCAGAAAACAGATATCTCGCCTACGCCATAAGTGACGCAGATTGGCAAAAGTTAATCGAGCCTTCTGTATCCGTGCTGAGGATCATTTAACTGAGAATTACAAACTACTTAAAAAGACATTCATTCATAAAATATGATAATTTTAGTTTTGATTTATTTTTGTATTCAATTTAGATTGATATTATTATTATTATTATTATTATTATTATTATTTATTATCTTCATGATTTTAATCTTTGTTTATCATAAAAATCATGTAAGGTTCTTTCTCCTTTTATTTATTTATTGCATAATAGATGTATCTATTCTTAAGAAAGATGTCAACTGTTTGGTGTGTTCCGCTTTTGAACCAACTGTTGTGTATTGGTAAGCATACAAGGTTTAAACATGGTATTAATTGAGTTTTTTTTCAATCAACACTATGTGTATTCCTGAAAAAAGTTGTTAACCTTAAAATCTGTATGGTACATGTACAAGTTTGTCGCAATCACCTCGGAATCACACGTTAGAGACCTTGAATGACATGGCTCAAAATCGTTTGCAATGGCGCCGGTGCATTTATGCTTTGCGTTCTCTCAAATCCTAATCTTCTGGGTTCTTCAACAACTCTAGTTTTGTCTTTCTATACTTATATCTCACTGAATCATACTTCTTGAATAATATCTTCTAATCCTAACCTCTCCGATTACTCTTAATACCTTCACTACTTCTTCTACTATTGGATTTGAATTGATAATTATATCTCTGTGTTGATGTGGTATGGCAACATGAACTGATTTACTTACGTACGAAGTTCTACGTTGCATCTGACTGACTGACTGGATCACACGTACAAGATTGTTTAAAGTCAGTAGACCATCTTAGCTTTTCAGAATATGCATGTATGTATGTGTGACGAAGAAATTAGGAAGAAGCACTGGAAGTGGGTAGGGCACACATTGAAGAAAGCAACCAACTACGTCACAAGGCAAGCCCTAACTTTACAATCCTCAAGGTCAAAGGAAAAGAGGAAGGCCAAGAAACACATTACGCTGAGTAATAATGGAGACGAACATAAGGAGGATGAAAAAAAATTATGCAGAGTTGGAACGGGAGGCACAGGACAGAGTAGGTTCGAGAATGCTGGTCTGTGGCCTATGCTCCACTAGGGGTAACAGGCGTAAGGATGATAAGTAACTAAGCTAGCGGTAAATGCATTTACTTTTAAACGGTTGAATCTGAACTCACAAATTCATTTATTTCACTTTATGAAGTATGAATATTGTTGAATATTAATAATTTATCATCTGCTTCATGAACAATTTAGTTAGCGGTTATACGATTTTTATTTAGTTAGCAGGTAAACAGTCTTTATCGATCCAATGACGACAAATCCATGAAGTCACTGACAAGTGGACTGAATCATGTTGATAAGTGTAGACTTACCTGGTTGGGGTCCGCGAGACGATAGTAACCGATGATTAGAGACGTTGAACGACATGGCTGAAAATCGTTTGCAATACGCAGGTGCATCCACTCTCTGTGTTCTCTGAAATTCTAACCTTCTGAATTCCTCATCATCTCTATGATTCTCTTCCTAAATTTTACTGAATGATACTTTTCGAATCATATCTTCGCTCCCTAATCTTCTCCATTACTGCTAATACTTCTACTATCACTATAACTCTTGGATTTGAACTGACAATTGCGTCTCTGTGCTGATGGGGCATGGCAACCTGAACTGATGTCTTTACGTACGAAGACTGTCCCAAGGATGTCTCTATAGAGTATAAATAAATACAATTTGAGTGCTTGGATTCATTGTGCGCTGGCTGGGTGTTTTTAGAATACACTTTCTACACTATATTAAGACTTCTTGCTGGTACAATTGGGACAATCGGATCAGAGTAGCCTACCTGGACGCTGGTTCATTGTTTTGTTCTCGTTATTCGACTAAGGTGAATCCGTAATAGTTTAAGCATACTTCGAAACGAGTATAACAACTTGTTGTACGTACTAGATATGATTCAGGGTTATAAATAGAAAGAATGTTGATATGACCAGATAGAAAGAACTTTACCTCCCCACTTTAACCTCAATTTATAACTTTCAAATGTTGTCTTCGAATCCTAAACGTAATTAATTAAATTAAATCCTAACTCTAATTCATTATGTATTGGTTTATAAATTAATAATTTTAAGAACTCTTTATTCATTGTTATTTGTCCGCAAGATGAAAGTAACCAAATAGTCAAATACCTTGAATGACATGGCTCAAAATCGTTTGCGATGGCGTTGGCGCATCCACTTATTGTATTCTCTGAAATTCTAACCTTTTGAATTCCTCATCATCTCTATCTTCTACTATCTTTACCACTATTGGATTTGAAGTGACAATTGGATCTCTGTGCTACTAATGTGGTATGGCAACCTGATGTACTTCTGTACGAAGTTTTACGTTGTAACTGACTGACTGATTGATTCAATAATTGTTACGCTCGTCACTAAGTATGTTTGAGGCTATTACGAGCTCACCTTAGTCGATAAACGCGAACGAGACTTTTCCCAGCGTCCAGGTAGGCTACCTTGAATCCCCAAATAGAGTAAAAAGGCTTTGTCAGCGTAGATAGTATATTCTACAAACAGTACAATCAAGCATACAACTCTCGTTTTTATACATCATAGAAACGTCCTTGAGACAGTCACAAAAATAGCACACTAAAATACACATCAGCCAATCACAGCCATGGATTTTCCTAGTGGGAATTGAAATCTCAAGGTCAACTGTTCAGCCCATGCTGGCAAACGTAGGATCCAAAATAAGGCATTTAAGAAGCGAGTTTTGTGGATCTAACATCAGCAACAATAATATTTCAATATTATTCCTATTTCACATTGTTCAATATTAATTATATATATAAACAGAGTTAATATTCATTTCAAATAATAATTTTGTTTATATTCTATTTTTAGCAATCTATTCAAAAATAATGGTTTCAATGTCGCAAATCAATTAATTTTACCATTTAGTACAGATTTTGATCATGTCAATTGTGCTTCAGTGGATGATTTTAATTTAGATGGTAGCAATGAAATTCTACTTGGAACATTTGGTCAACGATTATTATATTATGAATGGGAATCGAGTAGTAGTAGTAGTAATACAGAGAATATAAAGAATGGACAATACATGTAATAATATACATACATTTCGTTTTGTCTGTGCTCTATGTATAGTCTGTATTGTATTCAAAAAAAGGTTTGATTAAAATTTGTAAAGTTTCTAGAAAATGTCCCTAGTATATATTTAGTAGTTGGAGAACCAGTCTTTATTAAATCAATAACCCAAATATTCGAACCCTGTTATAACTACTTTGGTCATCATCACTTAAATAGCATCTTTTAGTGGGTGGAGCTGTGGTTCATCAGTTCAAACACTCTATATTTGTTCGAATAAATCATGAATTAATTGTAAACTGAGCTCTACCTAGCGTCTAGGCGTTTGTTAGTATTGTTACAATATGTCTGGTTGAGAATCTATAAATTATTGAAAACTAATTATTTTAACGGTTAAATTAATCGTTTCCGATAGAGTAGTGCTACAACTGCTGCTATGAATATTTTTGTGTTTGAAAGCACATTATACAAATCAATGCTATAGGATATTCATAAATTTAATTCATTTGGATTCACCTAATCCTTTAAATCACGATATATTGTCTACACCACAAGTGACCCGAATCCTCCAAAGCTAATCGAGTCTTCTGTATTTGTGACGAGATTTCGTCACACACCATGTCGTCATCACTGGTCAGACTCCCAAGATTAGTGAAGCGGTCAATACACTCAACTGCCTCACTACCTATCACTAGTTCAGGTGCCGTTGCAAGCCAATCCTGAAGCGGATTCTGTATTTCGATCGAGAGAATCGCATCCCGAACATACATGCTTGCATTGTTGCTTAGGGTGATCAGAAGGCTCTGCATTTTGTCAGCGTTTTCGCCAGACAGAATTATGTCATCGTCATGTTCTAAGTTGACGAGTGAATCTCCTGGTAGAAGGTCAGTAGTTCCTGAAATGTCAGTCGATGAATTTATCGTCTCTAAAAGCGCATGTTGATGACAAAGAATGAAGAAAGTGGACAACTCTGACGAACATCGATGACAGTTCTCCATAACCTCCCACTTGACCAGTGGTGTTCGAGTAGAGAGCGTGTATAAGGTTGATGTACTTCTTTGGTACACTTTTCAATGACAGACACTGCCAGAGAACCTCATCATTAACTGAATTGAGCGCCGCCCATATATATATATATATATATATCATTTCAAATAATTAAATTAGTTTCAATTTTTTTCACAAATCTTTGTCTCCTTTCTTTATTTTTTTAGATTAAAAGCTCAACGTTCACTTCCTGGTCCAGTATTTTGTATATCACCTGCATTAGATTTAATCGGTGAAGGTTCTTTATCATTAGCTATTCTAACTAGTCGTGGACTACATATATTTCAACATGATACAAATTGTTTAATTAAAGAAATTCATCATAGATTAGATAATCACTTGATCAGTGTCAATAAATGATATACACAAACATTATTGATTTTTTGTGGCCTGTCTCTATGTATGTATATATATGAGTGTATTTATATGTATATTGAAGACAAACTGATTTCTGATTTGTACATTACTTAATTTTTTTTATTTAAATTATGTTTTTGTTAACTTCTGTCAGAAAATAAAGTTTTTGTAAATAATTCTACAATACATTTTAAAGTTAGAAAAATGCATGCATGTTCGGGATGCGATTCTCACCGTCGAAATGCAAAATGTTGCTCCAAGTCTGGGTTTCATCGGCACCTTGACTGGTGATAGGGAGTGAAGTAGTCGAATGTGTAGACCGCTTCACTTATCTGGGGAGTCTCATCAGTGCTGATGGCCTGGTGATACAGAAGGCTCGACTGCCTTTGCCAACTGGCGTCACTTATGGCGCAGGCGAGATATCCGTTAGCTGACTAAAGGATGAGTGTACTGTGCAGCAGTTCGCTCTGTCCTACTATACGGATGCGAAACATGGCCGTTAAGAGTAGAGGACTTTCGTAGGTTACTAGTCTTCGATCATAGGTATCTCCGAAGCATTGCTCGTGTATCCTGGGACAACCGTATAAGCAATGCTATAGTTAGGAAACGAGTTCTAGGTAGGGATGGCAAATCAATAGATGAGGTGTTGAAACTTCATTATTTGAGGTGGTTGGGACATGTGTTACGAATACCCGACCACCGACTGCCTCGACGAGCTATGTTTATCGATGTAAGAGTAGGTTGGAAGAAAGCTAGGGGCGGCCAGACCAAAACAGGGCAGAAATCCATGAAATCACTGACAAGTGGACTGAGTCATGTTGGTAGATGTAGGTTACCTTGTTGGGGTCCGCGGGACGATAGTCACCGATGTCTCAGAATCGTTTTCAATGGCGCAGGTGCATCCACTCTTTGTGTTCTATGAAATTCTAAGCTTCTGCATTCCTCACGATCCCTACCTTTCTCCTTCTAAATTTATCTCACTGAATTATACTTCTAGAATCATATCTTCGAACCCTAATCCTCATTACTGCTAATACTTCTACTAACGCTACCACTACGTGATTTGAACTGACAGTTGTGTCTCTGTGCTAATGCTGTATGGCAGCCTGAACGTGTGTACTCATGTACGAAGTTCTACGTTGTAACTGACTGACTGAGAAATACAAGAAAGAAAACATGTAGACAGTTATTACTCAGTACTTTTCATCTCTAGACTTTCTAACACAAATACCGAATCACCATTATTGTCAAGTGATATAATCATTTCTTACTGGTTGAGTAAATAGCATCCCATTTTCTTTCTGTGTAAACGTCATGTTTTAAAACCCTGATTTTAGTAAATTACTTCGTTTGAATTTTGTATGAAGGAAATTTTATTGTGTTCAAACAAGTGATTTTGGTTTACAATTCAACTCAACGAATCTTTATCATTCAAATACATTGTTTGTTAAATAAGATGAATTTAATGTATTTCACAGTTTCTTGTCAGTTGCTTACCAACCTAACTATAATCGTAGTATTCATCATTAAAAATCTGTGCTGTACATACATTTATATCATAATATGAGAAAAGTTCTCATCAGTGAATTTTGATGAAAGAGCAATAAGGATTATAGGAGATAATATGTATATTTTTGAAACCATGAATCGATCAATGTTAGACCACCATTAGAAACCTGGAAGCACTGAAAGACGGCCGTTTCGTCCTGGTATGGGACTCCTCAGCAGTGCGCATCCACGACTCCTGCCCCTCGCAGGACTCGAACCTGGGACCTTCGGCATTGTAGGCGGACGCCTTACCATCGGACCACTGGGCCGGTATCCAACGGTGTTAATGTCTAACTTGATCAAATTCACGGAGGAGTCCCATACCAGGACGAAACGGCCGTTCAGTGCTCCTAGGTTTCTAATGGTGGTCTAACATTGATCGAATCATGGTTTCAAAAATGTGTAACTTGACAATCTTCACAACCCCGTAATGCAAATATTTATATGCTTAAATACTATGAATATTTATCGGTTGAATATAAGAATATTTCTGAAATAAACAACTCAGAACATAGAAACAGAATGTTGTGGAGATAAGATATTATGATAGTATAGTCATATTACTCATAGAACAAAGTCGACTGAGTACAAATCAAATAAGGATTACCAAGGTAAATTCAAGGTAATCTTTAAGCCTAGGGTAATGTAACAATTTTCTTACCTTTTCTCATTGTTTTCATATTACGTTAATTTTCTCTCTCCTTTATTTACGATTATCACCCTATGTCTATCTGAACTTTTATTTAATTGACCTTTTATTCATCTTCATATAAAATGCCTTGACAAGTAAAATATGTGTGACCAGATTGTTCGAAATGTATAGCGCAATTACATCATAACATTTTTCAGATCAATTACGTCTTCTCATTGTTCTATCAAAATTTATAAAAGGGACTAATTGTTTTAAATAAGAATTTATTCGTCTCACAAATAAAGATTATGTAACATCACTCGTAAACAAGGTCACCACGAGACAATTCGAGTTTGATACTGGATTCTTTTAGAATACAGAGATCTGGCTTATTCATTATAGTCAACGTAGCAAATGTGATGTTCATTATTAATCTTAACAGGGCCCTAAAATACAAACTTTATGACAAACTGTCAAGCAAATAGCATTGCTGAAAATGTCAGTAGACTTTATCTCCCAGTTGTTTGCGCAATTTTCTATTTTCTAAATTTTGGTGATTGTGTTGTTTCAATTCATATCAGTACTTTATTTGGATAAAATTACTCAAATTTTATTTAAATTCGATAATCAAATAATCTTCTGATTATGTCTATTTAGATCAAATGCCGGGGTGTTCAGTGGTTGAGATCAGTTCTCATCCGCGAAATCCTAGGTTCAATTCTCACTCCCGCATAGGTAAGACGACTTAGTATCGGTTGTCTTCGAAGCATTGCTCGTATATCCTGGGACACCCGAGTGAGCAACGCTGTTATTAGGAATCAGGTGCTAGGTAAGAATGGCAGATCAATAGATGAAGTGCTGAAACTTCATCAGTTGAGGTGTTCGGGACATGTGTTGCGTATGCCTAACCACCGACTGCCTCGTCGACCTTTGTTTTGTAGCGTAGCAGTAGTTTGGAAGAAAGCTAGGGGCGGCCAAACCAAAACATGGCAAAAATCCATGAAGTCATTGACGAGTGGACTGAGCCATGTCGGTAATTGTCGACTATCTGGTTGGGGTCCGCGAGATGATAATAATCGATGGTTAGAGACCTTGAATGACATGGCTCAAAACCGTTTGCAGTGGCGCCGGTGCATTTATTCTTTGTGTTCTCTCAAATCCTAATCTTCTGGATTCTTCAACACCTCTAGTTTTGACTTTCTAAACTTATCTCATTGAATCATACTTCGTGAAAAATATCTTCTCATCCTAACCTATCCGATTACTTCTAATACCTTTACTACTGCCATGCTGATGTGGTATGGCAACATGAACTGATGTAGTTGCGTACGAATTTCTACGTTGCAACTGACTGACTGACTTAGTATCGGTATCCCATTACCTAAAAGTATGATTTAAAGCCGACGAGTACATAAAATACGATAGTTGGTGTAGGTAACATTACCACCATCCCGTAATCAAAATTAAATAAAAAATCCAATTTCTGTCGCTTCAAGATATTCAATATATTTTCAAATCAAATTTTTTTATGTCGAATAAATATTTATTTACTGAATAGGGAAATGACATAAAGGACAATTATGCAATCGAATGATTTCATTTTCATATGCACAATGTTTACATGTTGGACACATCCAAAATTGATAATCGGTAATTGGTTGACCAGTTACAACACATACAGGAATTTTTGTTTCACTAAAATTTTTAGGTAGAAAGCATTAAAAAAAAAGTAAGGTTTTCATGTTGATTATATAAATAGACAGAAAATATAGATTACTAGTGTACTAGTGTATGCTAGAGACATTATAAAGGAGGAATCTGTTTTGTTTAAACCGAATCCTTGTTAAATTGTCTGTTACAGGTGAATGTATTCGTTCTGTCAATAAAGACTAAATACAATCTGTCAATGGTATTATCTTCTAGACTTCTTCTTAAATCTTTAGTCTCAGTGTTACTTCATGCTTTTCATTCATTATTTTTAATCAGTATACTCTGCGTTGTTGAATCTTCATTCATTATTAATTATCATTATTCGTACTCAAACAATCTTCATTCAAATAATGAATCAGTCATTATTAAAGCACTACTGAAAACGTGGAAGCACTAGATGGCTGTTTCATCCTAGTATGGGACTCATTAACAGTGCGCATCCATACACCCCTCCTCACTAGAATCGAACCCGGGACGATGTGAATATTTAGCTTTGGATTGATTAAAGTTAGACATTAACACTGTTGGATACCGGCTCAGTGGTCTAGAGGTTAAGCGTTCATGCGCAAGACAAGGTTTCGGGTTAGATTCCCGCTAGCGGGGACGTGGATTCACACTACTGAAGTCTCATACAAGGACAAAACGGCCGTTCATTGCTTCCAGGTTTCTAATTGTAGTATAGCAATGATGGATTTATTATTTCAATGAAACTTAACAACCAACAGAAGTCTATAATAAAAAACCATTTAGTCTTGTCCTATATGGATTTGAGAAAACTTGAACCTATGTACATCTGTGTTAAATCGTACTTTGATGTCGACTGAGTTATCGCAAAAATATATGTATACTAATAGGATATAAAACAATTGAGTGATTGATCATTAGAGTTCAATTTTCAACGAAACAAAACATTGATCAGCTAAAAATAATACTTTATTGTATGCAAAAGTAAATCCACTACAGTAAGTCATACATTGTTATACTAAAATTCATACTAGTTATCGATCGTATCACGTGATTTAGGTTCGAGTAAAACCAAAGGCCGAGATGAGATTTCTTAATTCAGTTCTCCTTTTAGACAGGTGTTTCATTTAAGTCTGTTAACATAAAGTCTGTCTGTAAGTTCAAATCATTGTAAGACATCTCAAGCACCTGTCTGGATTAACTAAAGAGTACAAACAATAAACTTATTATTAAAATTCCTTAAATTAGCATTCACCACATTCGGTAACACAGTCGTTGCAGGTTTACTTACTAAACTGATTAGATCGATTAGTTTAGATAAAATTTGTAGGTAGAAAAACAATTTAGAACAGGTGATGGCAGGCAACACTGTGACTTTTGCTGAGTTCGTTTTCATTTTGTTGTCTCTAGTTATGGATGATTATATAAGCACACCGTAATGGCATCAGAGCCGCTCTTCGTTATATTATTCATTTTGAGAGATGATTTTCTAATTGAAATGCTAATTTCAATTTGTTGCTACACTCAGTGACTAAATACTCTTTCAAAACAATTTATATTAGCATTACGGGGTTGTGAAGATTGCTAAGTGAATTGATCAAGTTAGACATTAACACCGTTAGGAACCGGCTCAGTGGTCCGATGGTTAGGCGTTCGCGCACAATACCGAAGGTCCTGGGTTCGAATCCTGTGGGGTGCAGGAGTCTTGGATGTGCACTGCCACTGAGTAGTCCCATACCAGGACGAAACGGCCGTCTTGCAGTGCTTCCAGGTTACTAATGGTGGTCTAACATTGGTCGATTTATGGTTCCAAAAAATAGACGATTTATGAATGGCGTGCATTTTAATCTTATATCTCTTCACATTACATGTTCGATTCATTCTTGCATCAACCTATTCATAACTTCTGTAATTACTAGAATACTATTTAGTAAACTAAACAGAATAAATTTTCTTTGTAAAGTAAGAGCGGTAGATGTAATAAATGCTACGAACCACTCTGTACTACTCATAACAATAATCAGTAGTGATCAAATTAGAAACAAATAACAGTTTGAATTAATTTCTCTTACCTTTCCAACATTGAATCCATTTCAGAAGACTCCAATGTATTTTGTTCATTAATAGGTTGATGTCTGTCAGAAAGATGTAAAGATAAGATAATCGTGATTTATGTTTCGTCAAAAATTTAATTCACAAGTAACAAAAAGTTTTCATCAGTGACAAACACTATGAGTGTTATTAGGTCAACAATCATCCATCTCTGTATACATTGAAACCTGTTTATATAAGGGCAAAAGTATACAAGTAGATTTAACATGATAAATGTGTTTAAAGTTTAAATAAGTTTTATTTGTTTTATTTGGTGAGGAATCTTCTCCGAGTTCTAGGGGGAAGTCGTGACCAGTGAAGTTCAAACCTGTTCGGATGTATACAGTGTATGAGGTTGCGCAACTCCGTGAATTTGATCAAGTTAGACATTAACACCGTTAGATATCGGCTTAGTGGTCTAATGGTTAGGGCGTTCGCGCACAATACCGAAGGTCCTGGGTCCGAATCCTGCGAGGAGCAGGAGTCGTGGATGCGCACTGCTGATGAGTCACATACCAGGACGAAACGGCCGTCCAGTGCTTCCAGGTTTCTAATGGTGGTCTAACATTGATCGATTCATGGTTACAAATAAAACTTAACAATCTTCACAACAACCCCGCAATGCAATTAAATAAGTTTTGTAAATGTATACTTACCTGGAAAATAAATCTATAGTCAATTCTTTAATTTCTTTTTGATCTGTTGATGAGATATCTGTTAGATTTTCTAATTTTATAAATGCTTTAGAGCACATCACATAATTTCTTGCATAAATAGAACAGAGAGCTAAAAAAAATTAAAAATATATTTCAATAATCAAGGATAAATTATTTTTTTGTTTTCAATATTATGAATCGACCAAATTCAGACATTAATTGAAAACCAAAAAGCATTAGTCCTAATGTGTAACAACTCCTTAGTGGTGCACAGCCTGTTACCGGGAATTAACTCGAGAGTGGAGAAAACTTGTAGCTCAAGGTTTTCAATGAATATCTAACTTATATCGGTCTTTGATATCCAGAACGCTTAATAATCTCAATAAAACTCAGTACTAACAAAATAGTATTTACTACCCATAAATTTTATTACGCAGCACATTCGCATACTATCCACACGATAGCTGTCAACTAGCCTGTAACCATTTATGAAGTACAATATCGTACCGATTAGATGATTACACTTATTGTAACTTGATCGATAAAGTTTAATTGTCACTAAGAGCATTAGAGAAAACGTGGCAGTGATAAGTACATAATGGGTCATTCTTGTGCACGAAAACCCAGGTGAGGACATCAACCATATACCTACGCGAATATTACAGACTTGTTAGGTACATGTACAAAACCTTCACGTGAATCATCATTTGCAAACAAATCCTTATTTGTTTCATATTTCAGTGTTCTTTCATTTAGACTGTTCAGATTTCAGTTCACTTTACGTTACCTACAAATCGCCTTCTTTCTGTTCTAATTATTTCCTTCTCGATCTTTTGCCATCAGACGTTTGATTTCCGTTTGATATCGTTATACTACTTATGTGAACATAAGTAGCATACACCACATCATTAGCCAATTGTAAAGAAATAGATGAACTTATGAATTCGGGTTTATTTTCAACTGAATTAACCAGATCGTGACTCCACCATGTGGAGTAGCTACATCTCTTTTTTGAGAGATATTCCACTGAATAAAACATTTTCAATTTCTGAGAACTGTCAAAAAATACTACAACTATCGTATTTATGTCATGAAATTATGTATAGCTGAATATTCAAAAACTATAATAAAACTTAGTAATAATTTGTTCGAACATCGAGTGTTAGTTATGCAAAAAAAAATCGATTATTGAAGTAGAAGACTATTTCAAATAAGGTTGTTTAACAGTAGCTAATTATATAGTTGGCTCTCTTAATGAATTTAAACAAGACAAGAATATAAATTTAGACAGAATAATAAGAGTTCATTATATTTCTTGATTTTTCATCAGCAACTTACAACCATATGTGTATTAAATTATGTGTTACGCATGCACGTAAACATGTCAATTTGATATGCTTGGACTATTACGAGTTTACTTTAGTCAGCAAACGAGAGCGAGGATCGAGGATCCGGCGATACGACATGCTACTCTAATCCGATCGTCCTAAACCCCCATTAAATAAAAGAAGAAGATTCGATATGAAGTAGAACCTATATTATTCTACAAACATCCAGAAAGTATGAGGTCCGAGTCCAGAAGAGAATCAGGATCCTGGACTAAGGAGCTGGGTCATAAAACACTACAAATAATGCGTATTATTACAGTTAGGTCGATCAGGGAACAACACTGAAGTCTGTGACCTTGATGGCTAGGACGACCATAATATTTGACCAGTAGGAATTGACCAATTAGAATTAAACTTAACAAAAATAATTCTCTTATGATATTTGATGAATATCCAAACAGTATGACAATGATTTATGGTAATATAAAGCAATAAACACTGATTATGGAAGGAATTAAATTTAGAAAAAATATATGATACATACATCTGTGCTTAGCTAATCATCATTGACTTATAAATATGTCCATAATTCTTGATTTCAAATCACTCCAATGACTACTAATTAGCTTAGAGAGGCAAAATTAGTCAATTAATTACTTCATTCTAGTTTCTACTGTGGTGCGCGCTACTTATTATAAGTAGTATATGACGCGAGTAAAAAACGTAATAATGTCTGGCAGCAGAAGGTGGGGGAAGATCAAGAAAGGAAGAGTTACAAAACAATGGAATTTGTATGAAACGCATGAATAGTGACAATGGATTGATGTTGTTTGCAACAGGAACAGTCCGGTTCGATATGATGAACTGTTATTTTGCAAATTAACAATTTACGATATGGTTTTCCTATTTTACTGAGTAACTCTGTAATTTTCATTAAATACAATTCGTTTGCCCTCACCTGTATTCTCCTTCACTACACTACTCTACCTTGGATCAAACAAACTTATAACTAAACCATAATCATTCATACTACTAATTCAAACAATTGAACATTTTGTTGAATAAACACTAAAAAAATAATAAGTATTCAATTACCAATTAAACTATAAATAATAAATGGATTTAAAATATCTTCATAATCTTTCAATAATTGTACAGTTCTAAATGCATGATTAATTGAACCAGCATAAAGTTGTTTTTGTGTTAACATATAATAATGATATGCTTCAGCACCTCTCCATGGTTGATCAATTAAACGACTGATTTCATTAGTTTTCTTCATTAAATCCATGTTAGAATTAGAATATTTCCTTGTGGAATCATTATCAAATTGTTTGAAATTCATTTTCATTGTATTTTCATGTAATTTCATTATTTGTTTTTGTAATTGTTCCGGCTTTTTATTGAACATTGAATTAGTTTGTGCCGCGTTGTTTGAACGTTCATTATTATGATTATCGGTATTATTTTTATAATTTAATAAATTATAGTCTTGTTCAGTTAATAATAGACCAGCAATTGTTGAACTTGCCATTAATACACCCTGGTAAATGTATTGTAAAAATTAAAACATTACGAAAGAATAAGGCTATCTTAGATTGGATATCAATCAATCAATCGATAGCAGAGTAGAACTTTGTACGTACGTACGTACGTATGTACATCAGTTCATGTTGCCATACTACATTGGTAATTTTCAATTCAAATCTCATAGTAGTAGAGGTGTGGTGTGTGCTACTTATACGAACGATATAAGTAGTATAAGGAGGAACGTGAAAGAAGAACTCTCACGGTCACAAGAGGAAAACGGAAAGCAAATGGAGCAAAAGAAGAAAATGGAGTACCATCAGGAAGTAAAGGAAGAAACAGCAGGAATGGAAGAAGGCTGGATCGTTGGAAGTCAGGACTCAAAGATGGTGTGCAAATAGAGTGTTGTTTAATGTAATGTTTTCGTTTTTAATTGACTAAGAGTGTAAATTTGCTAAATACAATCTATCGCGCCAGCCTCAGTCTTCTCAGAGGTAGTAGAAGTTATTGGCAGTAGTCGGAGAGATTAGGGTTCGAAGATATTATTATTCAAGAAGTAAAATTTAGTAAAATAAACTTTAGAAAAAATTTAGGATTTGTAAGAATACAAGGAATGAATGCACCTGCGCCATAGCAAACGATTTTGAGCCATGGCATTCAGCGTCTCTAAGCGTCGATTTATATCATCTCGCGGGCATCAACCAGGTAGTCGACACCTACCAACATGACTCAGTCTACTTGTTAATTAATGACTTCATGGATTTCTGCCATGTTTTGGTCTGGCCGCTCCTAGCTTTCTTCCAACCTATTCTTACATCGCGAAACATAGCTCAGCGAGGCAGTCGTTGGTTGTGCATTCGTAACAGATGTCCCAACCACCTCAACTGAAGAAATTTCACTAGTTCATCTATTGATCTGCCATCCTTTTACTTAGTACCAGTTTCCTAACAACAGAACTGTTTTCTTTTTGACTCGATAGTTCCAAGATAAACGAGGAATGCTTTGGAGACACCTACGATCGAAAACCAGTAACCTAAGAATATCCTCTACTCTGCTGACTGCCCATGTTTCACAGCCATAAAGTAGGACGGAGCGAACTGCTGCGCAGTACACTCGTCCTTTAGTCAACAAACAGATATCTCGCCTACGCCGTATGTGATGCAGGTTTGGAAATCAAATTTATACTACAGTAGATAAATCGTAAATATAAAGTGTCAACTTTGATTCATAGATCTTCTTGCCTAAAAACACTGCGTCATATGCAAAAAAGTGTTGGACCAGCGTTTCATTTTACTGGAGAACCATTAGCCGGATGTCCCTGCATCCCAGTGTCGATGTTTACTTCGGGACTCGAACCCAGTACTAGAGTGCCATTATCTCGTGAGATCACCGAAATATAAATTAAACGGCATACTTTGTCGCGAAAATAAAATAAATGAAGAAATTATAGTAAAAACTAGTCAAGAATATTCTATTTCTTCTTAGAGGAGAATATAAACAAGGAAAGTGTATGGATAAGATTAGTGCATTCTTTTGAAAACCTTCAAAGTAAATGAATATATGTTTTTTTTTATAAGTGATTATAGGTAGGTTAGTAGGAAACTTTGCTTCATCTAGCTTTAATTCTAGTTGAAACTTGTCAACAACGCCTAACTATAGTTTTACTAGAACTTGGTGTTCTTCATAGGATTCAAACCCACATCACTCAGCTTCATAATCTGAAACAATACCGTTGATGTATTCTATCCACCCGCTACTGACTTCCTATAGGATTTAACAATATTATCAACTAACTAAATTTATCATTTTATAGAGTTATGAAGATTGTTGAGTGTCATTAAAATCACGAATCGATCATTGTTAGACCGCCACTAGAAACCTGGGAGCACTGGACAACCGATTCGTTCTAGTATGGGACTCACCAGCAGTGTATATCCACGATCGCCGCTTGTGAGAATGGAACGTATGACCTTTGGTCTCGAACGTCAATGCCTAACCTCTAAACCACCAAGCCGGCATCCAACAGTATTAATGTCTAACGTTGATCAATCTACGATTTCGCGCAACTTCACCCATTGTCTTCGGTAGTTACTACGTACATCCGACAGGGTTGAACTCTACTAGTCACATCTTCACACCAGAACTCCGAGAATCGTCTCACAAAGTCAGTGACTAGTGAATACAATTCACAATTTTCCATAACAGAGTAATGGAGGTTGATTAATTCATGATTTCAATAATTAACTCAATTCAATTCATTTACACATTTGAAATCATCAATCAGTCATTGTTAGACCACCATTAGAAACCTGAAACCACTGAACGGCTGATTCGTTCGGGTATGGGACTCATCAGCAGTGCGCATCAACGACTCCTGCAATTCGCAGGATTCGAACCCGGGACTTTCGGTATTGTGCGCGAACGCCTAACCATCGGACCACTGGGTCGGTATCCGATGGTGTTAATGTCTAACTCTGATTGATCTACGGATGTTTGCGCCACCTCACCCATTTGTCTTTGGTAATTACTGCTTACACCCAACAGGGTTGAACTCCATTGGTCACGTCTTCTCACGAAGCTAGTCACTAGTGAGTACATGTTACGATATTTTCTGTTAGAGTTTTGGAGGTTTTGTGTTTTTTTTTACACATTTGAAATCATCAATCATCAATCATTGTTACTAGACCATCATCATCATCATCATTATTTAGTAAAAATTGATGCAACTCGGAACTAAAACACATTCGCCAAAAGCAAACAACACTTTTATTATATCGGATGTTCAATTTAGAAAAAAATCAATACTGTCCTGTGATCCCTTGACACGTATATAAGAATAAACGAGTAAAACAAATTGAAATTCATCATTAATCAACTTACTTCACCACAAGCAGGATTTCTTGGCTTGACATTAGCTTGTAATTTATTTTGTTCATAATATTGTTCCATTAATAAACCAATAAGTACATACATTTTTTTCATATATAATGGAGGCTTAGTATGATTATTATTATGATTATTAGGAAACTGTTTGATGCTTTGAATTTCCTTTATATATATACATATATAAATAAAATAATGTTTAAATTGTCTAAAATGAATTTAAAATCTTTAAGAAACATTGTTTGAAAATAATAATAGTGTAGTGAACGAGAACACAGGTGAAGGCAACTGGATTGTATTTTGTTATCGCAAATTACAGAGTTGTTACTCAGTAAAATCGGAAAACCATATCGTAAATTGGTGATTTGCAAAATATCAATCCATCATATCGAACTGGACTGTTCCTGTTGCAAACAACATCAATCCAATGTCACTACTATTCATGCGTTTCATACAAATTCCATTGTGTTCCCACTCTTTTTCCTTTCTTGATCTTCCCCCATCTTCTGCTGCCAGACATTACGTTTTCACTCCAGTCATATACTACTTATAAGTAGCTCGCACCACAATAGTAGTGGAGTTAGTTAATATTAAAATACCGTAACTGATGCGTTTGCGCTCTAACTTCAACAAGATTAACTGGACTGTTTTTAATCACCTCGTCCTTGACAGTTGACTAGACGAAAATAGCTGAAGTTAGCAATAAAGACCTTTCCTTACAGAGATACCAGAAAAACTGAAGTACATTCAAATTATTTCAATGATATTTAAAATGAGGATTATATTTGTATGTCTTAGTGAGTCAGTCTGTTACAACGTAGAACTTCGAATGTACGTACATCAGTTCAAGTCGCCATACCATATTAGCAGAGAGACGCAATCGCTAATTCAAATCCCATAGTAGTAGAGGTGCAGACCGTAGCTGCTAACTTGACATGGTGGTCGAGCTTGCCTATCGTGATGACCCGACCGAGTTATATTGGCTGGAACATATGTTGCTGAAGGTTCTAACATCCCCCTTAACGACCCTCTTATCTTCATGACTAACGCTTTCCACATTCCATTATCACCCTGTACCGCTATTGCAAAGTTAATCTTGGTGTCCTGAAACTCCGTTCTAAACCACATGTTGGAGCTTTTAATGTACGGATATTGTGTTAAATAGGGCAACAGGCTTCCTTAGCTAGAACATTAGAATCTCGCGCCATCGATGGATGCTGCGTCTCGGAAACGCGCATACAGGATCCGAGGAGTGTCATTCACTTGACCTCACCATTTCAAGATAAAGAAGCAACTCGATTTACCCTTCGTGTATCTGGAAGTCCTGATGCCGCTTCTATGGGTCCCACTGGTGTAGGTATAGCATTGAGTCCTAGATAGTCGCTTGTGTGCTGTTTGACTAAACGGGACAGTAAGGACCCGTAAAGATAGGGACTTCCATCGTTGTCTCCTCATCATATCTGCCTATGCCCCCACTGAATGGAGTTCAGACGAGGTTAAGGATGAGTTTTACAGAAAGCTTTCGGACCTCCTCCAAAAAGCTAGGCGCTCTTTTTACTTACTTTACTTTCGCCTGTTACCCCCAATGGAGCATAGGCCGCCCACCAGCCATTAATACTATATCAGAGCGCCTAGCTTTTTAACTCCGCCAGTAGAACCTTAGGGGCTACTGCCGGTCCCAAGCCCGGATAAAGGAGGAGGGTTGGACATGCGGTTGGCGGCCCCATTCCGTTGAAATCTAACTTGCCAAAAAAACGCTAACCAGAAAAAATAATTCAAACCATTTTAACTCTGCCCTGGGAGTTGGAAAAGCTAGGCGCTCTGATATAGTATTAATGGCTGGTGACTTTAATGCTCGAGTAGGTTGACTCAGTGAAAAGGAAAGACACCTGGGTGGACCTTATGGTGTCGCGGCTCAAAGAACAGACAGTGGCGACCGTCTGTTGCAACTGTGCTCAGATAACCACCGATTTCTAGCAAACACTAACTCTAGGAGTGAGGAAAAACATCTTTTGACCTGGCGACTCCCGAAGTCGTCACAACGTTGGACACAACTAGATCAAATCGCAAACAGCCACCGATGGAGTGGTTCGATAGAGGACTGTCGCTCGTTGTGGGGCACATGTCTAGATACAGATCATGCCCTAGTGCGAGCGCGTATTTGTTTAAGGCTTAATGGACGTAGGAAAGACACCGTAAGGAAGCCTCTTAGGGTTTTACTTGATGATAATAAAACTAAGAATATATTTCAGGAACAACTAGAAAGACAGGCGACCATGTAATTGATTCCCATCTGGAGGCATGTTGGAATGATATCAAGAAGGTTGTGGAAACAGCAGTGATATCTGCTAGGAAGGTAAACCATAAGGCTTGGAAGAAGCCGTCGATCTCACTAGCATCCACCGAACTGATGGATGCTCGTAAACTCATCCCTCCTGGCTCTGAACATGACGAATAACGGACCCAGCTTAAGCGCAGGCTGATAAAAAGCCTTGGCCATGATCGCGAGCAGTGGTGGGTAACGAAAGCAAGAACGATGGAAATGCAGCCGCGGTAGGCAACAGCAGACAGCTGTTCCGCCTTAGGAAGGAAACCGGTATCAGGAATCTTAGTGTAAGTGAGAGTATCTCGGAGAAGGATGTGACTATCATTCATTCTCAATCCAGGAGATTGGATCGATGGGCAGAACACTTTAGGGACCAGTTCAGCTGACCTTCAGCCACCCTTCGGTTACCCAAGATCTCCAGTCATCCTGAATGACAAGTCGACGTATGCCCTCCGAATCTTTATGAAATTGAAAAAGCTATAAGAAATCTGAATCGAGGGTGGGCAGTAGGACCTGATAGATTGACCCGTAGAATTTTTAAGGATGATGATCCAGTTTTATCTTAGGTAGAATCTGGGAACTGGACATAATCCCATCTGATTGGTCTCAAATACTGATTGTCCCAGTCTACAGAAAAGGAGCAATGTCCTCCTGTGACAATCAGAGAGAAATCAGTTTAACTTATATAGTATCTAAAATGTTGGCCTCAAAAATACTCCGACGCTTAATGAAAGCTCGTGAAGAGCAGACTAGAGAAAACCAGGCTGGTTTCAGACCTGGACGTGGATGTATAGATCAGATATTCACACTACGTTAGGTCCTAGAACAAAGACACCGTTTATAAGTCCCACAATAGTAGTATTTCTCGACCTTGAGGCGACATTTGACTCGCGAGTTTCTGTGTCTGTCATTAAAAGGTGTACCAAAGAAGTACATTAACCTTATACAGGTTTCCGGTGAGCGTCTTTGTTCTTTCGTACAATTGTCTCACGTATCCCTCTCTTGCAGCTGTATCAGCTCCTCTCTTGGTTCTCACATCCTGCATAGTCCTTCTGAACGTTTTGTTAATACAGATATAGTCATTTTGGCTTTGAGTAGTGTGGTCCGGTCAAATCCATGTAGCATTGTGTATGCGTTTGTGTGGGAATATTGTGCCACTGATGACCAGTTAGTTAAAGGCACATAGGTTTGCAAATCTCTCACCATTTTCGTTTGTTTCTTCCAGTCGATGTCGTCCCATGATGTCTTCACATCCAGTGTTGTCCATGCCAACCTTGGCATTCAGGTCTCCCATAAGAATCGTCAAATCCTTTGGTGAACATTTATCGACGATTGACTGCAGCCTTTCGTAGAATTGATCTTTAACGTCGTCATTGTAGTCATTGGTAGGTGCATAACATTGGATGACGTTCATTGTAATGTCCGCTTTCTTTGTTTTGAAGGATGCTTTAATGATCCTCGGTCCATGAGATTCCCATCTTATCAGTGCCTTTTGTGCATGTATGGACAGCATCAGTGCAACTCCTTGTGTATGTGAAGCGTCTTCCTCTTCATGACCAGATTATAACAGCAGTTCCCCTGAAGCAAGTCTCAGTTGTTCTGCCTGTGTCCAATGCGTTTCACTGATGCCGAGCACCTCGAGGTTGTATCTTTTAATTTCTGCCGCAACTTGAAATAGTCTTCCAGTCTCCCACAATGCACGAAAGTTCCATGTACCTAAAAGAATAGTTGCTCTGGTTGTGAGAAGAGGCATCAGCCCCGTGACTTCCGAGGGAACTCGGCTTTCATCACGCGAACATAATTCTTCTTCCGATTCCCAGGGCAGAGTTAAAATGGTGTGATTTATTTTTTCTGGTTAGCGTTTTTTGGCAAGTTGGTTTTTTGGTGGGATGGGATCGCCAACCCCATGCCCGACCCTCCTCCTTTATCCGAGCTTGGGACCGGCAGTAGCCCTGAAGGGTCTACAGGCGGAGTTGTGAATTGCTATAACCTTGATCAATAAAATGATCCACTTATAAAACCTATCTTGTCTCTTTCTAACTAATATAGTTAATAAATTAAGGGAAACAAAAAAAACAGAATTATTATCAAACTAGATTTCATTCATGTCAAAATGACACAGGCTTACTTATCACCACTTTGAATCACTTACTTTATACAATAATTCTGCAGCATCTAAATATCGACCAGCATTTTTATATAATTCAACAGCTTCAATAATTCTACCTTGTTCAATGAAACTATTCACTGATTGTATAAATAAATGATCAATTCGTTTTCTTTGCTCTTGTTGATAAAGATGATCATCTTGTGATGAATCAATACATTTCACTAAGTCATAAGCAGCATTCCATTGATTCAGTCGTATACAAATATCAATGGCTTCTTTATGACGATTACACTAAATGATGTGAAAATAGGAATGTTTTTAAGAAAAAAGGTGAAAAAAAGTCAATGAAAATGTTATTTATTGGACAACTGTTGAAAGGAATTTGAAATAGATCTTTAGGCTTAGTTCGTGGGGTTATTCTCAGAGGTGTCAACAGTGTTCGAAAGCGTTAATGGTCTTTCAGTCGATCACATGGTTATTTACTTCATTTTTTAAAAGGTTATGTATGCTAAGCACTAAGGTAAACCAGTGCTACAGAAATGTTTGACATTTAGAGAGCGAAACTATTCTACTGTTATGACAGCTGATACCGTCAAGGTCAACGGAAAAGAGGAATGAAAAGGAACATACATTACGCCGAGTAATAAAGAAGACAGACATGAGAATGGCCCGACCGAAGCTGCTACCTTGACGTGGTGGTCGGGCTTGCCTATCGTGATGACCCAACCGAGCTATACTGGCTGGAACATATGTTCCTGCAGGTCCTACCATGCCAGGCTGGTCGATTGGAGAACGATAAGACTAAAAGCAGCTACCCCAGGTCTGAGGGCGAAGTCGTACTGCTGACTGCAGAGGGGTGTGACAGCAGTAAGGTGTTTCCCTCGGACAACCAGCATCTGCAGCGATGCTGCCTTCTCACAAGGAAGGAAGGGTTAGAAAAGGTCGGCCCTAAAAATGTCACACTCCCCCTAACTCACGGATTTCCGTCTCCTTGGGTAAGGGTGCCCACTAAGGGCCTTTAAGAACGGAGCTAATCCTCAAAAAACGTTTCATAAAAAGGCCGTGCGTGACCGGCCTGAAGCAGTTGTCCCTTGGACTCTGCGGTCACGCACCAACACTAATCCATCTTCCTTTGCAGGTCCCTCAAGAAACAACCTTCCACGGTGTGGGCAGCCGGGAAGTGACAACCGCCCTCATACCCGCAACAGCACACGAGACCAAATTGGTCAAAATCAAATCCTTCCTACACCCCCTCATGTCTCTCTTATCTCTACGACTAACTGTACTCACACTCCCTTTTCTCACTGCACCGCTAATGCAGACGAAGCGAGATCACGAAACGTCGTTCCTGGTCTCTTGAAACCCCGTTCTAGACTACATGTTGGAGCTTTTAATGTACGGACATTGTGTCAAATAGGGCAACAGGCATCATTAGCTAGGACTTTAGAATCTCGTGCCATCGATGTATGCTGCGTCTCGGAAACGCGCATACAGGATCCTAGTAAAGTCATTAACCTGATTCCACCTTGTCAAAACGAAGAAGCAGTTCGATTTACTCTTCGTGTATCCGGTAGCCCTGATGCTGCTTCCAGGGGTCTTGCTGGCGTAGGCATAGCGTTGAGTCCTAGGGCAGAATTATCTCTCCTAGACTGGATCCCAGTAGATAGTCGTTTGTGCGCTGTCCGACTAAACGGGACGGTAAGGACTCGGAAGGATAGGGACACTCGCCGTTGCCTCTTCGTCATATCTGCCTATGCCCCCACTGACTGCAGTGCAGACGAGGTTAAGGATGAGTTTTACAGAAAGCTTTCGGACCTCCTCCAAAAAGCTAAGCGCTCTGACATAGTAATAATGGCTGGTGACTTTAATGCTCAAGTAGGTAGACTAGGTGAAAAGGAAAGACATCTTGGTGGATGTTATGGTGTAGCGACTGAGAGAACAGACAATGGCGACCGTCTGTTGCAACTATGCTCAGATAACCGCCTATTCTTAGCGAACACTAACTTTAGGCATAAGGAAAAGCATCTGTTGACCTGGCGACCGCCGAAGTCGTCTCAACGTTGGACTCAACTAGATCACATCGCCATCAGCCACCGATGGAGGGGTTCGATAGAGGACTGTCGCTCGTTCTGGAGCACATGTTTGGATTCAGATCATGCTCTAGTGCGAGCTCGTATCTGTTTAAGGCTTACTGGACGTAGGAAAGACACCGTAAGAAAGCCTCTCAGGGTTTTACTCAATGATAATCAAACCAAGAAAATATTTCAGGAGCAACTAGAAAGACAGTTAGGCGACCATTTAAGCGATTCCCATCCGGAAGCAGGATGGAATGATATCAAAAAGGCTGTGGAAACAGCAGTGATATCTGCTAGTAAGGTTGACCATAAGGCTAGAATGAAACCGTGGATCTCAGTAGCATCCACCGAACTGATGGATGCTCGAAAACGCATCCCACCTGACTCTGAGCATGATGAAGAGCGTAGTCAGCTTAGGCGCAGACTTATAAAAAGTCTACGTAACGACCGCGAGCAGTGGTGGGTGGCGAAAGCAAAAGCGATGGAAAAGGCAGCGGCGATAGGCAACACTAGACAACTTTTCCGCCTTATTAAAGAAACTGGTATTAGGAATCATAGTGTAAGTGAGACTATCTCGGAAAAGGATGGTCTTATTATCCATTCTCAATCCAGGAGACTGGATCGATGGGCAGAACACTTTAGGGATCAGTTCAACTGGCCACGAGCCACTCTTCGGTTACCCACGATCTCCAGTCATCCTGAATGGCAAATCGACGTAAGTCCCCCTAGTCTTAATGACGTTGAGAAAGCGTTAGGAAATCTGAAACGAGGACGAGCTGCAGGTCCTGATAGACTGACCCCTGAGATATTTAAGGATGGCGGTCCAGTTTTAGCAGCTAGATTGACTGAGATCTTAGGTAGAATCTGGGAACTGGACGTAATCCCATCCGACTGGTCTCAATCACTGATTGTCCCAATCTATAAGAAAGGACAAAAGTCTTCTTGTGACAATCACAGGGGAATAAGTCTAACTAATATAGTATCTAAAATATTGGCCTCAATAATACTTCGACGCTTAACGAAAGCTCGTGAAGAGCAGACTCGAGAAAACCAGGCTGGTTTTCGACCTGGACGTGGCTGTATAGACCACGTCTTCACACTCAGACAGGTCCTGGAACATAGACACACATTTAGGCGTCCTACAATAGTTGTTTTCCTAGACCTTAAGGCGGCATTTGACTCTGTTGATCGTAAGGTTCTGTGGCAGTGTCTGTCATTGAGAGGTGTACCACAGAAGTACATTAACCTTATACAAGCTCTTTACTCGAACACCACTGGTCGAGTGAGGGCTTATGGCGAACTGTCACCGGAATTCTCTACTTCAAGTGGTGTCCGTCAGGGATGTCCACTTTCTCCATTCTTGTTTAATTTTATCATAGACATGCTCCTAGAGTTAACATTATCCTCGTCTGAATTTTCTGGAGTAGACCTTCTACCAGGTGGCTCGCTTATTGACTTAGAATATGCCGATGACATAGTCCTACTTGGTGAAGACGCTGACAAAATGCAGAGTCTTCTGACTACCCTAAGCAACAATGCAAGCATGTTCGGGATGCGGTTTTCCCCCTCGAAATGCAAAATGTTGCTTCAAGACTGGGTTGCATCGGCACCTGAACTAGTGATAGGGAGTGAAGTAGTCGAACGTGTAGACCGCTTCACTTATCTTGGGAGTCTCATCAGTGCCGATGGCCTGGTCACTGACGAAATCTCAGCACGGATACAGAAGGCTCGATTGGCTTTTGCCAACCTGCGTCACTTATGGCGTAGGCGAGATATCCGTTTGCTGACTAAAGGACGAGTGTACTGCGCAGTAGTTCGCTCCGTCTTACTTTATGGCTGTGAAACATGGCCAGTGAGAGTAGAAGATATTCGTAGGTTACTGGTTTTCGATCATCGGTGTCTTCGAAGCATTGCTCGTATATCGTGGGACACCCGAGTGAGCAACGCTGTTGTTAGGAATCGGGTGCTAGGTAAGAATGGCAGATCAATCGATGAAGTGGTGAAACTTCACCAGTTGAGGTGGTTGGGACATGTGTTGCGTATGCCCAACCACCGGCTGCCTCGTCGAGCCTTGTTTTGTAGTGTGGGAATAGGTTGGAAGAAAGCTAGGGGCGGCCAAACCAAAACATGGCAGAAATCCATGAAGTCATTGACGAGTGGACTGAGCCATGTCGGTAATTGTCGACTACCTGGTTGGGGTCCGCGAGATGATAATAATCGATGGTTAGAGACCTTGAATGACATGGCTCAGAATCGTTCGCAATGGCGCCGGTGCATTTATTCTCTATGTTCTCTCAAATGCTAATCTTCTGGATTCTTCAACCCCTCTAGTTTCGACTCTCTAAACTTTTCTCACTGAATCATACTTCTTGAATAGTATCTTCTAATCCTAACCTCTCCGATTTTTTCTTATTCCCTTACTACCTCTTCTACTATTGGATTTGAATTGACGATTACATCTCTGTGCTGATGTGGTATGGCAACATGAACTGATGTACTTATGTACAAAGTTCTACGTTGCATCTGACTGACTGACTGACATGAGAATGGAAAAAATTGGGCGGACCTGGAAAGGGAGGCCCAGAACACAGTAGGCTGGAGAATACTGGTCAGCGGCCTATGCTTCATTGGGAGGTAACAGGCGGTAAGTAAGTAAGTAAATAAGTATAGCAGCTGATATTGATTTTGATTTTACTATCAATGAATGTATGAAAATCTCATTATAAAATTACATAATTTCTCGCTGTTTAGAAAAGCACTTTATCTTCCCTATCAATTGATTACTTAAAGAATTTAACATTTGAATTTAAGTTACATGTTGTATAATTTGAATAGGATATTCAACAAATATCCTAAGAGAATTATTTTTGTAAGTTTAATTCTATTGGTCGATTCTTACTGGTCAATTTCACGGTCGTCCTGACCGTTAAAGTCACTTCAAAGGTTGTTTTCTATTGGTCGTCTTAACTGTATAAATACAGTATAATCTGTAACGTTTTATGACCCGGACCCGGATCCCTAGTCCAGGATCCTGATTCTCTTCTGGACTCGGACCTCATGCTTCCTGGATGCTTGTAGAATACAGGTTCATACATACTTAGGCCTGTTACCCACAATGGAGCATAGGCCGCCCACCAGCACCATACTCCAACCAACTCTGTCCTGGGCTTCCCTTTCTAGTCCTTTCCAGTTTTTGTTCCTTCTACTCATGTCTTTGTGTATTTCTTGGCGTAATGTGTTCCTTCGCCTTCCTCTTTTCCTTTTGCCTTCAGGGTTCCATGTGAGGGCTTGTCTTGAGACGCAGTTCGGTGTGTGTCCTATCCACTTCCACCGCTTCTTCCTGATTTACTCCTCCACTGGAATGTGGTTTATTCTCTCACATAGTAAGTTGTTGCTGATGGTGATCTTGCCAATGAATCCGAAGTATTTCGCGAACACAACTGTTCATAAATACTTGTATCTTCTCGATGATGGCTTTGGTAGTTCTCCAAGTTTCAGCTCCATACGAAGTAGAAGTAGAATACAGGTTCTACTTCATATCAAGTCTTCTTCTTTCACTCAATAGTGTTTGGGGCACTCGGATTAGAGTAGCATGTTGTGTCGCCGGATCCTCGAACCTCGCTCTCGTTTTCCAACTTTTGTAAACTCGTAATCGTCCAACCATATCAAATTGACATGTTTACATGCAAGCAAAACAATTATTTACAAAAGACAATTAATTATAAAACAAACCTTTGTAAATGCATACACAGCTTGTTGTATCATGCCTAGATTAGCTAATCTAAGACCAAAATCATATAGTACATTATGACAATCAGGTAATTCTTCTATGATTCTTTCAATTCCTTTATAATCTTCTAATTGATATAAACATTCAGTAAATTTGAGTAAATTATTTCCTTGTTGATAATAACCAGCTGCTTTATCCCTAGAAAACAGATATATTTAATGTAGAAAATGATTTATGATGTCATTCATAAAATGGCATTTTTAAGAATCGAGGTGAAAAGTGAATACTTACTTACTTAATTACACCTGTTACCGCTCCAATGGAGCATAGGCCGCCGAACAACAATATTCTCTAACCTACTCTTTCTTGGACTTCTCTTTCCAGGTCCGTCCAATTATTGTTCATTCTTTTCATATCTGTCTCCATTCCCTAGCGTGATTTATCCCTAGTCCTTTCTCTTTTCCTTTATCCTTCAGAGTTCCAAGTGACTTCCACGGTGTGGGCAGCCGGGGAAGTGACAACCGCCCTCATACCCGTAATAGCACACGAGACCAAATTGGTCAAAATCAAATCCTTCCTACACCAACACATACCTCTTTTCTCTCCACAACTAACTCTACTCACATTCCCTTATCTCACTGAACCGCTAATGCAAACGAAGCGAGTTCACGAAACGTCATTCTTGGTCTCAGACCCTGAATGACATTGCTCAAAATCGTTTGCAATGGCGCCGGTGCATTTTTCTTTGTGTTCTCTAAAATCCTAATCTTCTGGATTCTTCAACACCTCTAGTTTTGTCTTTATAAACTTATATCTCACTGAATAATACTTCTTGAATAATATCTTCTAATCCTAACCTTTCCGAATACTTCTAACACCTTTACTACCTCTATTACTACTGGATTTGATTTGACAATTACATCTCTGTGCTAATGTGGTATGGCAACATGAACTGATGTACTTACGTACGAAGTTCGACGTTGCATTTGACTGACTGACTGACTTTAAGTGAGGGCTTGTCTTGTGACACAGTTTAGTGCTTTCCGTAGTGTGTGTCCTATCCATTTTCAGCGGTTCTTCTTGATTTCCTCCTCAACTGGAATCTGGTTTGTTCTTTCCTTCAGTAGGTTATTGGTGATATTGTCTAGCCAACGGATCCGAATAATTTTGCTTAGACAACTGTTAATAAATACTTGTATCTTTGAGGCTCTAACAGTTTACAAATAAGTTTATAATTTAACAAGATTTTAGGTTCATTTAAGTTGTTGTGTCTTTTGTTGAAACTATTCAACGAATAAGAAATATGATACAACTCGAAATTTGTCATGCTACATTAACAACTTAACCACTTGAAGCACTGATAACCATGGGTGCATAGAACACGCTATTGATAGTTTCCTGATGTAAATTGATGCAACCTAGGTCAAACAGATAATTTACCCAGAATGGCCATCTCGTTTTGTATTTATCGATCGGACTGCTTCTATGGGGCAAGTTTTATTCGTCGAATTTCTAGGAATTTACATTTTCGTGCTCATGAACACCTTCTGGCGTGTCTGAACTAAAGGGCCCATGAAAAGCTGAATATTGTGCCATTTAGTGCAAACTGGTCATGGGGCTTGTATACGCAAATCTTTCTCAATAACTTGATGAGTCAGTAATTTTTTACGAAAGTCGGTTCTACTTAAAATCCTTCAACTGGCAGAATCAATAGTTATCCGGATTAAAAAACTGGAATCAAACGCAACAAAATATATATTCAATCCCGTCACGCACCGTGGTCAACCTCAGTACCAGCATTGATCTCCCGAACGAATGACCAATGTACTTAGCACTCACCTCACTTTAATATTTCTGATTGTGTTTATATCACATTATAACATAGTAATATAACATCATTATGTAACATCTTCCAAACATTTTATCGAATTCGGCAACTGTATAATTATTTCTCTTACTCTATCTGATCCATACCTATTCTGATCATTGATGTCACACTTTCATTTTTGATTATTAAAAGAGAAAGGCCAAAGAATACATTACGCCAAGAAATAGAGAACAATATGAGAAGAATGAACAAAAATTGAACGGAACTGAAAAGGGAAGCACATGACAGAGTAGGTTGAAGAATACTGGTCGGTGGCCTTTGCTCCAATCGGGGGTAACAGGTTGTTTGAAATGGCTAACGCAAAAACACATCACATTTTTCAGATCAACTACGTCTTCTCATTGTTCTATCAAAAGGATTCATTGGAAAAAACATCCTTCGTTTTTATTTATTGTTGCGAATCGTTAAACGGTAAAGATGTGGTTGTACACAAATTTTGATTCAATGAGCCGGTACAGTTTCACAATTTCTCTTAATATCTTACTTATCTGGCTAGTTGGATGAGTATACAGGAAGTACGCATAACGGTATGGTTAATCAGACGACGGTCTAGCATGAAACTATTGAAATTCTATTATTTCAGTGAAGATAATGCTCAGAAAATACGTGTTAAATCTATAAAATGTTTGATTTTATTTATGTCACATGACTTGCTATTCTAGAACGCTATAGTGTTTACAAATACCTCCAGCCTACAGTACTTGTCCCAGCCTTTGGAGAAATCAATTAATCACTTCTTCCCCAGTCATTAATCATTTGCCTTTCGATCTTGTCTATTTTTCGCCCATATCCGTGGTTGTTTTTATTCGCGCTGGAATAACATACTTTAAATGAATGCCATCGGCATACCTATTATTGATGAAAGTCTCACGTAAGTAGTCTATTCATATAATGTACAACTATCGTACAATGAATTCGTCTGTGGGTCTACTGACAGTATAAACTACGATTAACAATAAAACAGTCTGTGAACGTATTTGCTTTGTTATTTGGATGTAAAACTTGCAAGAAGTAATAGCCACAACTATAAATACTCTTGACAATCCTTATTTGTCAAACAGAAGTGTCTCTGCCTACATTAAACAACAGCGATAGCGTTAGGCTCATACACACACTCACACACTGATGCCACTCATAATGACCAAGGCCTTTGATTGATTTCAGTTGGTAAATCATAACACTTTGAAATAATAAAAATAATTAGTTTTGATTCATTTGTATTGGTAATTTGAATCCCCCAATGGATAGGTAGGATTGAACATTTGTCGATTGAGACAGACCAATTGTAGTCCTAACTATCAGTTGGCAGATTTAAACTAGCGACATAAATGAGATAAATTTCACTCCATTACACAAGCAAATGACCGTCTGGAGTCAGTAGTTGAATGAATAACTCAATAGTGTCTCAAGCGAATGGTACGGGGTTCAACTCTCGGAATGAGCATCAACTCTGGGATATGGCAGGTACATCTAGCTGATAAATCTCAAATAGAACAAAACGCATATCCAAGATTCCACTGCTTGCCACTATCCATCTCTGGTTATGTTAGGATATTCATCCAATAACCTAAGAGAATTATTTTTGTAAGTCTAATTCTATTGGTCAATTCCTATTGATTGATTCCCGTTGGGCGTCCTAACTATCAATGTCACATACTTCAAATGTTGTCTATTATTGGTCGTCCTAACTGTATAAATATGCATTATCTGTAATGTTTTAGGACCAGGACTCGGATCCCTGGTCTGGGATACTGATTCTCTTCTGGATTCGGACCTCATACTTTCTGGATGTTTGTAGAATGCAAGTGCTACTTCATATCAAGTCTTCTTCTTTTACTCAATTGGGATTACTTTTACGTGAACACCAATTAGCAGTCAAACGCCGCGACAATTCTCCGCTTATATCAATACATACCGACAATTATGGACATACATTCGATTGGGATAATGTGGAAATACTGGATAGGGGGAGGACAAAGAACACTAGAGAATTTTTAGAAGCTTGGCACTCAGGTCAATCAGCGATCAATAAACACATCGACACTGACCCAATTTATCAACCAATCACAAAAATCATAGGGGGCATAGGATCAAGAAACAGTTCAAAAGAGGATACAATCAAAACAAATGTGCAAACAACGACAGGTTTAAGGTCAACAACAACCAATCAAGATCGAGGTTAGCAGAACAAGCTACAGGTCAAGCATGGAGAAATTCGAATGCTTCACTTCTATCTGAAGTTTGTGCTGATGATGTTGTTCAGAAGAACAATCTAAGCTCCACAACCAAAACAACCAGCTCAGAGAACGAAACACCACCACAATCATCCACCTGAGCTACAAGTTTTCTCCACCATATCAATGGGGTTTTGCACGTTCGGATTAGAGTAGCATGTCATGTCGCCGGATCATCGATCTTCGCTCTCGTTTGCTAACTAAAGTAAACTCGTAATAGTTCAAGCAGTTTAAATGACGTGTTTACTTGCGTGTGTAGCAGGCTCATAATAATAATGTCTTTTTAAAAATATTTTGGCTTAAAAAAAGATAATTAAACAAAAGAGACTATCTATTTCAGTTGCATTTTCCATTGAAAATAGAATTCATAAAAACAAATAATATAGTCCAAATAATCTTACCATAACATTTGATGAAGAAAATGATCACCTATAGCATTCCATATTTCAGCTTGTTCGGAATCTTTCATTAATACACCAGTATCTTTAGTTAATTGAGCTAAACGAAACCAATCACCTAATCGTTTTCTTAATTCCACAGCTAAATCAGAACGATCATTATTTAATAGTAGAGTTTCAGCTTCATCATATCGTTTGAAATAAATCAGTATTTCTGCCTTGTACAGTATGATTAAGAGAAAAATAGGTATTCAGTAGTTAAAGTGAATATTAGACTATCACAAAAATGACATAAATTGTGAACACATTGAAATGATGAATCGATCAATGTTAGATCACCATTAGAAACCTGGGAGTATTGGACAGCTGTTTTGTCCTGGTATAGGACTCATCATTAGTGCGCCTCCTAGACTCCTGCTACTCACAGGATTCGAGCCCAGAACCTTCGGTCATGTCCGCGGACGCTTAACCTCTGAAGCACTAGGCCGGCATCCGGTAAATAGATAATGTACATTTTATGATGTGTGCACAAATATATTGAGTCCACAGGGCTAGTCCTTGCTTTCGCACAAACTAATTAACCTTTTCCGACCGAGCCAATATACACTTATCTTTGGACCTTCTCACTCATTCGCTCATGAAAATGATTGTTTTTATTCAAGTGCATATGTGCATACTTACATCGCTTATTACATGCCTAGCCTATTTTCGCCTGACTGTAAATACTTAGTCACGTCTCATTGCATTGAGTTGGGTAAATTGCCTTCTCCACTTCCATTCACTTTACTTTCACGCTTTGTATTCTCATGTCCGTCTACGTGGATTACAGCATGAAATAAACGCATCCAAATGAATCTGCCTTTGACTTCTTAAGACCATCGTCACACTATCTGGGTCCGTCTAAGTAGGATATACGGAAATTGAAGGGAGGATTAATTTCATAGCATATAAAAATGTTCGTCTAAATTGGAGTCAGATCACGGGCCACTAAAAGGGGTGAGCCCTAACTTCGAATTCAATGTAGTCACTAAAATAATATCTATTGTTAAAACTGTAAAGTAGTTTTCAAAAAAAACTGATTATACTGAATAGGAAATTTTTAGTAGTCAAATTAGTTTAAACTTATAAGTGAGCGCAGAATAAGAAATATTTAAAAAACTGTTTAGTGAAATTATTAAATGGTACTTGTTTAGAGTGTCAGAGACTGTTGACAAAGTCAATTCACATCACAAAGGGGATTATCAGAAAGAATGTGGATAACAATTTTGTTAGGATATTCATCCAATATCCTAAGAGAATTGTTGGTCAATTCCTATTGGTTAATTCCTACTGATCAATTTGATGGTCGTCTTATCTTTCAATGTCACAGACTTCGATGATGTTTCGCATTCGACCAAAATGTATAAATACGCATCATCTGTAACGTTTTATGACCAGGACCCGGTCCCGGATCCCTAGTCCGGAATCCTGATTCTCTTCTGGATTCGGACCTCGTACTTTCTGGATGCTTGTAGAATACAGATTCTACTTCATATCACGTCTTCATATTTTCACTCAACATGGGGGTTGGGATAATCGGATTTGAGTAGCATGTCGTGTCGCCGGATCCTCGCTCTCGTTTTCCGACTAGGTAAACTCGTAATAGTTCAAGCATATCAAGTTGACGTGCCCACATGTAGGCGTAACAAATTTCACGTTACCAAATGCTTTAAAAACTGCTTTACAAAAACGTGTTTCCCAAATGAATACTAAAACATTTAAACAAACTGTCAGGATATTCATCAAATATCCTAAGAGAATTATTTTTGGAAGCTTGATTCTATTGGCCAGTTCCTACTGGTGAATATCATGGTCGTCCTGACTATCAATGTCACATACTTCAATGTGGTTTCCTATTTGACCTAACTTTATATATATGTATTATCTGTCAAGCTTATTATTCCATATATTCCTTCCTTCATTCATTCTGTACTCGATCCCATTAACAACTTCATCTGACGGTGTTGTGTTCTGATATATTGGAGATTTGGGAACAGTATTTGGGGTCGTATTGGAATACCTGAACTTGGTCAGCCGGTAGGATTTTGAATAGCTACATAGCAGCATTATAACACAAACAGACATATGCAATGAAATGACATGTCATCTCCATTGAATCTAATTTTAATCTACTACTCTAATGGTGTATAATCCTTTGGTTGATTGTCAACCTTAAATCAAAGTCAGATCACTTAAATTAGTAGCTTAATCTAGCACGATATTTAAAATGCCATTATTCTAGAACATAATGAAACGAACAAACATGTAATCAACTTCAAAACTGAACATTCTCTATAAATCTCTTGTATTAAATAACAGTACAATTACTGAATTATTTGCAGAAAGTTTTGAGAAAAAGAACTGAATTTTTTATCAGTTAGATAACCATTTCTCATGTTGGATACAAGGCAGGTATTGCTGTAGTGATATAGTGTTAGGTTCGTCACTAGGTATGTTTGAAACTATTACGGGTTCACCTTAGTCAATAAACGAGAACGAGACAAGGAACCAGTGTCCAGGTAGGCTACCCTGATCCGATGACTAACCAAAAGTCTTGATATAGCGTAGAAAGTGTATTCTACAAACACACAGCAAGTACACAATGAATCCAAGCACACACGAATCTCGTTTATTTATACATCATAGAAACTTCCTTGGGACAGTCACAAAAATAGCACACTAAAATAACGCAGCAACCAATCACAGCCAAAGAGTTTCCTGGTGGGAAATGAAATTTCAAGGTCCACTGATCAGCCCATGCTTGGGAACGTGAAATCCAAAATTAAGGCATTTATCAAGCGAGTTCTGGAGATCTAACGTCCCCAAAATACGGACATAAAAAATGTATACTGAGCATTTTAAAAATACGAAATGCAAACTTTATAATTTTATGCTTTCCATGATAGAGTTGTGAAGATTGTTGAGTTTCCTGGAAATCATGAGTCGATCATTGTTAGAATACCATTAGAAACCTGGAAGTACTAGACGGCCGTTTCATCCTAGTATAGGATGACTCATCAGTAATGTTGCATCCGTAACCTCCACTCACGGGAAACGGCGCTGGGACCTTTAATCTCGCACGTGAACACTTAACGTCTAGAACAGTGAGCCGGTATTTAACGGTATTAATATCTATATATATATATATATATATATATATATATATATATATATATATATATATATATATATATATATTCTTTTATGTAGTAAGAGTTGTCACCTTAGAAGCAACAATCAATTCCAATGAAAATTCAATAAATAAATAAATTAATTACTTTTCTAATTAATTTTGACTGAATATTTCTTAATTTTTTAATAAATTGTATTCCTGCATATTCTTGTAAATGTACAAATTGTAATTCAGCCATATCAAGATTTTGTTTTTCTAAACAAGCTTCAATTAATAAATATCTAAGATAAACAGAAGAAAAAACAACAACAGTAGTTTGTTTTTTTATCAAATGATTATAAATACAATGGGAAAAAATGTGCAAAAACCAACTGACAAAATAAGAGAATGTAATGATATTGTGTTGTGTGCTACTTATACGAACGATATAAGTAGTGTAAGAAGGGACGTAAAAGAAGGAGGCTCACGGTCAGAAGAGGAAAACGGAAAGCAAATGGAGCAAAAGCAAGAAGTAAAGAGGGAGTACCAACAGGAAGGAAAGGAAACAACAACAGGAATGGAAGAATGATGATGGAGCGTTGGAAGTCACGACTCAAAAATAGTGTGCAAATAGAGTATTCATTGTAATGTTTTCGTTTTTAATTGAGTCAGAGTGTAAATTTGCATAATCAATCTTCCTCGCCTGCCTCAGTCTTCTCAATATAACCGTTGACCTAAATCGATTCAATCCAGGAGACTGGATCGATGGGCAGAACACTTTAGGGATCAGTTCAACTGGCCACGAGCCACTCTTCAGTTACCCACGATCTCCAGTCATCCTGAATGGCAAATTGACGTAAGTCCCCCTAGTCTTTATGAAGTTGAAAAAGCGTTAGGAAATCTGAAGCGAGGACGAGCTGCAGGTCCTGATAGACTGACCCCTGAGATATTTAAGGATGGTGGTCCAGTTTTATCTGCTAGATTGACTGAGATCTTAGGTAGAATCTGGGAACTGGACGTAATCCCATCCGACTGGTCTCAATCACTGATTGTCCCAATCTATAAGAAAGGACAGAAGTCTTCTTGTGACAATCACAGAGGAATAAGTCTAACTAATATAGTATCTAAAATATTGGCCTCAATAATACTTCGACGCTTAACGAAAGCTCGTGAAGAGCAAACTCGAGAAAACCAATCTGGTTTTCGACCTGGACGTGGCTGTATAGACCACATTTTCACACTACGACAGGTCCTAGAACACAGACACACATTTAGGCGTCCTACAATAGTTGTTTTCCTGGACCTTAAGGCGGCATTTGACTCTGTGGATCGTGAGGTTCTGTGGCAGTGTCTGTCATTGAAAGGTGTACCAAATAAGTACATTAACCTCATACAAGCTCTCTACTCAAACACCACTGGTCGAGTGAGAGCTTATGGCGAACTGTCACCGGAATTCTCTACTTCAAGTGGTGTCCGTCAGGGATGTCCACTCTCTCCATTCTTGTTTAATTTTATCATAGACATGCTCCTAGATAAAACCTTATCCTCGTCTGAATTTTCAGGAGTAGACCTTTTACCAGGTGGCTCGCTTATTGACTTAGAATATGCCGATGACATAGTCCTACTTGGTGAAGGCGCTGACAAAATGCAGAGTCTTCTAACCACCCTAAGCAACAATGCAAGCATGTTCGGGATGCGGTTTTCCCCCTCGAAATGCAAAATGTTGCTTCAAGATTGGGTTGCATCGGCACCTGAACTAGTGATAGGGAGTGAAGTGGTCGAACGTGTAGACCGCTTCACTTATCTTGGGAGTCTCATCAGTGCTGATGGCCTGGTGACTGACGAAATCTCGGCACGGATACAGAAGGCTCGATTGGCTTTTGCCAACTTACGTCACTTATGGTGTAGGCGAGATATCCGTTTGCTGACGAAAGGACGAGTGAACTGCGCAGTGGTTCGCTCCGTCTTACTTTATGGCTGTGAAGCATGGCCAATGAAAGTAGAAGATACTCATCGGTTATTGGTTTTCGATCATAAGTGTCTTCGAAGCATTGCTCGTATATCGTGGGACACCCGAGTGAGCAACGCTGTTATTAGGAATCGGGTACTAGGTAAGAGTGGCAGATCAATCGATGAAGTGGTGAAACTTCATCAGTTGAGGTGGTTGGGACACGTGTTGCGTATGCCCAACCACCGACTGCCTCGACGAGCTTTGTTTTGTAGTGTAGGAGTAGGTTGGAAGAAAGTTAGGGGCGGCCAAAACAAAACATGGCAGAAATCCATGAAGTCATTGACGAGTGGACTTAGCCATGTCGGTAATTGTCGACTACCTGGTTGGGGTCCGCGAGATGATAATAATCGATGGCTAGAGACCTTGAATGACATGGCTCAAAATCGTTCGCAATGGCACTAGTGCATTTATTCTTTGTGTTCTCTCAAATCCTAATCTTTTGGCTTCTTCAACATCTCCAGTTTTGACTTTCTAAACTTTTCTCACTGAATCATACTTCGTGAATAATATCTTCTAATCCTAACCTCTCCGATTACTTCTAATACCTTTACTACCTCTACTACTATTGGATTTGAATTGACAATTATATCTCTGTGATGATGTGGTATGGCGACATGAACTGATGTACTTACGTACGAAGTTCTACGTTGCAACTGACTGACTGACTGACTGACCTAAATCAATAGGCTATACACAATCTGATATACGTTATACCAGGTAATAAATGGATTATGAACAAATGTAGACAGTCAGACTAGACTATATTGTTTTCAAAACATTAATTACCAGTCTATCTATACTCAGTAAGATCAATAACAGAGATGATTAATAACGTGAATAAAATCACAAACTCAACAGTTAGCAATATGTATCATTATGTTTGTTGTGCGCGCTACTTATAAGTAGTATATGACGTGAGTGCAAACGTAATGTCTGGCAGCATAAGATGGGGGAAGATCAAGAAAGAAAGGAAGAGTGGGAACACAATGGAATTTGTATGAAACGCATGAATAAGTGAACTGTCAGACAATGTATAGATATATTTGCAGATTAACGATTTACGATATGGTTTTCCGATTTTACCAATTAACTCTGTAATTTGAGATAAATACATTTCGGTTGCCCTCACCTGTGTTCTCCTTCACTACAGGTTGACGTCGATTGGCTGATTATATATTGTACTCTTATACTGGTCATAAATCATTGGTTATGAGTGAGCAATCACATCAAATAAATCAGATAAATACGAATTGTCTAATACTTTCTTTCAATGTTCAATAGTTATGCAAATTATATCAATGTTCATGATATTAGAGACTGGTATTAAAAATAAAGGATGATTATGCACTCTTTAGAAATGAGCAACACTGACACTATGTTGAATCTAGGATAACTCTTGTAGACTAATTAAATCGAGTGAAATTTAGATCTACTTGAATGAATGTCAGTAGCTTTAAAGTAATAAATTCTTATTACTCTTATGTGCCATTTTTTAGTGATTTTCGGTTGATGATTAAAAGTTTTTGAATTTAAAAAAAATCACTATTTTCATTATAGAGTTATGGGAATTTTGTTCCGTTTCACTGAAATGATGAGTCGATCATTATTAGACCATTGGATGCTGGCTTTCACGTTTGCGCGCAAGACTGAAGGTTGTGCAAAACCTTAGATTGATCAGAGTTAGACATTCACGCCGTTGAATTCCGACTTAGAGGTTAAGCGTTCAAACGCAAAACCGAAGGTCCTGAGTTCGATTCTTGAGAGTAGCGGCAGTCGTGGATGTGCTCTGCTGATGAGTCCCATATTAGAACTAGACAGTTATCCAATGCTTTTGAGTTTCTAATGTTGGTTTAGCAATGGTCGATTCGTCATTTCAATGAAAAACATTACTGGAGTGACACTTTAATGCAAACTATGAGTAATTATTAAAACTTATCACAATCAATAGAGTTACTATTGACTTGATCCATACTACTGATTCATAAAAATGGTGTTAGCCTGACTGCTTCAAAGTACTGCACAAAGAATATGTCCTACACTTACTGAATAGCTGTGACTAAAAACGCTAGCATACTCTTAACACAAAGAATAAGAGTTTCTCACTTGTCGATTGTGAGATTTGATTGACAATAAACTGAATATATAAGAGTAACGTCCTTCGAACTGTGAAATATTTTATACCATATATCATATCGACTTACAGAAAAATACTGATGCTAGGATTTCTGTATGAATATAAACAACCAGGAACAAAAAAACGAACTTGTTGATGAGGGATCTACACCGTTAGAAATAATACCATCTTGAAGACAGATTTTATTGTAGACTTGGAACACTGTGTAGATGATAGGATATTCATCTTATATCCTAAGAGAATTATTTGTCAATTCCTATTGGTTAATTCCTACTCGTTAATTTTATGGTCGTTCTAGACATCAATGTCACGTACTTCAATGTTGTTTCTTATTAGTCATCCTGAATTTCAGTGTCACTTCAAATGTTGTTTCCTATTGGTCATCTTAACTCTCAATGTCACAGAATTCGATGCTGTTTCCTATTCGACCTAAATGTAATAAATACGCAGTATCTGCAACGTTTTATGACCCGGACCCGGATCCCTAGTCCGGAATCCTGATTCTCTTCTGGACTCGGACCTCGTACTTTCTGAATGCTAGTAGAATACAGGTGCTTCTTCATATCAAGTCTTCATCTTTTCACTTTATATGGGGTTGGGGCACTCGGATTAGAGTAGCATGTCGTGTCGCCCGAATCCTTGATCCTCGCTCTCGTTTTCACACTAAGGTAAACTCGTGATTATTAAAGCATATCAAAATGATATGTTTACGTGCACGCGTAACAGTAGACCAGTTGAGATCATAGAGCACTGAACAACTGTTTTGTTTTAGTTCGATAGAAAACAAAAAATACAGTGAACTGGATGTCCATTGCTTCATGTTTCTTAGCACTTTCGAAGCCTATATTTCTTTTTAAGAACTGATGCAAACACGTCAGTAAGCAGTATGATGTTATTTCTCTCACTGAACACAATTCTCTAGTTGGATTGTAATACTTTTATAACATGAGGCTGCAAATTCAAAGTAAAATCACTTTCATGATGTTTCACCTGCACGTAAACACGTCATTCTGACATACTTGAACCAATACGAGTTTACCTAGTCGGAAACGAGAGCGAAAATCGAGGATCCGGTGACACGACATGCTACTCAAATCCAATTATCCCAACCACCATATTGAGTAAAAATAAGAAGACGTGATATGAAGTAGAACATGTATTCTACAAGTATCCAGAAAGTACGAGGTCCGAATACAGAAGAGAATCAGGATCCCGGACTAGGGATCCGGGACAGGATCCTGGTCCTGGTCATAAAATGTTACGCATAATGCGTATTTATAGATTTACGTTGAATAGGAAACAGCATTGAAGTTTGTGACATTGACAGTTAAGACGACCAATAAGAAAGAACATTTGAAATGACATTGACAGCCGGGTGACCAATAAGAGACAACATTGAAGTATTTAACTTTGAAGGTTAAAACGACCATAATTTTGACCAATAGAAATCGACCAATAGGATTTGAGCAATCATTCTCTTAGGATATTGGATGAATATCCTAACACTTTAACCGGCAAATAAATCAATAAAATGTTTTATCACCTACTGACTAATTAATAACCATCATAAAACACAAATATTCAAACCAACAATATATTTACCTTAATTTATTATACGGATTATCATTGATAAATTCTGATGCTTTTTCTAATCCATCTTTTTCTAAAATTTGTTTAAAATCTCTAACTTTCTGTCAATTTTTTTGTTTGAATAAATGAAAATGAAAACAGAATACAAAATAACTAACTGATCATCAATAAATTTCAAGTCATCAAATAACCGTGTTCTGTACATATTACTATGATAAAAAGTATTTAATCAAATCATCAGGTCTTCATTACACAAATATTGATAACTAGGGGATGGATGAATATTTTTCATCTATAGAGTTATCGAGATCGATTAAAGTTAGACATTGATATTGTTGAATGGCGGCTCAGTGGTCTAGAGGTTAAGCATTCACATACGAGACCGAATGTGCTGGGTTCGATGCCCCCGAGCGAGAGTTGTGAATACATGCTGCTGATAAGTCCCTTTCATGAACGAAACGGCCACCCAGTGCTTTCAGGTTTTGAATGTTGGTTTAACAATTATTTATTCATAATTTCAATGAATGAATAGCTTATTGCTACTGATCAAGTATCCATTTTTGAACTAGAATAAATATTGATAAATCACTGGATCTCTAATAAATATTTATAAATTTTGAAACCATGAAACCATAAATCAATCAATGTTAGACCATCATTAGAAATCTGGAAGCATTGGATGGGTCGTCCTGGTACGGGACTCATCAGTGGCAGTGCGAATTCACGACTCCTGTAACCTGCAGGATTCGAACCTGTGCGCGAACGCCTAACATCTGTGTAACTTAACAATCTTCACAATCCCATAATGCAAATATTTATATGACTTGCATTTCAAATTTCCATCTGAATGAAACTTAAAAGATGAACTCCATCTAATTAGTTAGTATGTTTTGTACATTATATAATCATTGGTTTAATAATGAAGATCACAATCAGCACAAATCCACATAGATGAAGTAATAAGGTTAAATGTTTTCTATGTGTACAGTGAAATTTAATTTTTTTAAAAACATTATTAAACGGTATTATGACTACTTAATTTACACAAAGTATTGTCATATTATATGTAGCAGGTGTGGTGCGTGCTACTTATAAGTAGTATATGACGCGAGTGAAAACGTAATGTCTGGCAGCAGAAGATGGGGGAACATCAAGAAAGGAAGAATGGAACACAACGGAATTTGTATGAAATGCATGAATAGTGGAATGTCAGACAATGGATTGATGATGGATTGAAGATTTGCAAATTAACCGTTTACGATATGGTTTTCCGATTTTACTGAGTAACTCTGTAATTTGCGATAAATACAATTCGGTTGCCCTCACCTGTGTTCTTCACTACACAAGGACTATTTTCAGCCACCTGTAAGACTGTTCTTAATTATAACTAATATTGTTCGATATTTCTTGATAATCAATAAAATATCTTAATTACCAAAATTCCAATAATAAATTTGTTGGGTACGTTAGATCCACAGAAGTCAATCGATAAATATCTTAATTTTGGATTTTATTCATGGGCTGATCAGTTGACCTTAAGGTCACATCTCCCACCAGGAGAGTCCTTGGTTGTGATTGGCTACTATGTTATTTTAGTGTGCTATTTTTGTGACTATTCCAAGGACGTTACTACGATGTATAAATAAACGCGATTTGTGTGCTTGAATGCACTGTGCTTGTTGGGTGTTTATAGAATACACTTTCTATGCTATATCAAGACTTTTTCGTTAGTTCCTTTGGGTCAACGGATCAGAGTAGCCTACCTGGACATTGGTTCCTTGTCTCGTACTCGTTTATCGACTAAGGTGAACCCGTAATATTTTCAAACATTTGTAGATAACTAAAATTTGAATGATTACAGTCAATAGTCAATTGTTTTAAATATTGTAGTGGAAATTGGCTGATAAGATCTATTTGGGAATAGTCCTGACCACTCACTACCTAGTAAACTTTGCTTGAACTACTTATCATCTTAATTCACGCAGTACAAACAAACAATACAATTGACGTTTTTTTTCAAAGTCTAACAACTATACTTGACTCAGTCATAACAGTACTCAACTTTCAACCAATCGATCGACAGTTCAAATCACTTTCTTTCTGATTTCGTTTGAATAGTTGAGTATTGATCACTAATCCACATATATACATACTTTAACAATAAAATCCGAGTATAAAGACCGTTGCTTGAATAAACAGTTAGACTATAATATTTAGTTATATTGATTTGTTATAAAACGATGTTATTTAAAATATTGTCAAGAAATGTAGTCATTACCTTGATCGGTGTTTTTAAAAGATAATCTTCATTTGGTTGAATATTGACAGATTTTACTAAATCATCCAAAAGAATGCCCTGAATTTCTAAATTTTTAAATTCATAAAAATATGTAGATGTTTGAATTGCTGGTTCAGCTTGTAAACCATCAAATATAAACATTCGAGTTTTTTCCATGATAGCAAATATATCAGGATTATCCTGTAAAAACAATTTTTAAAGTAATGAAAGTCAATATCTAATAATCCTGACATATATATATATATATATATATATATATATATATATATGGTGTGAGCTACTTTTAAGTAGTATATGACGTTAGTGTCAACGTAATGTCTGGCAGTAGAAGATGGGGGAAGATCAAGAAAGGAAGAAGAGTGGGAACACAATGGAATTTGTATGAAACGCATGAATAGTGACAATGGATTGATGTTTTGCAACAGGAACAGACAGTCCAGTTCGATATGATGAACTGATATTTTGCAAATGAACGATTTACGATATGGTTTTCCTATTTTACTGAGTAACTCTGTAATTTTCGTTAAATACAATTCGGCTGCCCCACCTGTGTTCTCCTTCACTACATATATTTATGTATATATATATATATACTAGAAACCTTCAAGTACTGGAAGGCCATTTCGTCCTGGAATGAAACCCATTTGCAGTGAGTATCCACGACCCTTGCTTGAGACTATCGAATACACGACCTTCGATCTCATGCTCGTATGCTTAACCTCTAGACCACTGAACCGACTTCCAACGATGTTAATGTCTAACTGTGATTAATCCCAGGTTTGCGCAACATCTAGGGGTTAAGCATTCACGCGCGAGACCGAAGGTCCTGGGTTTTGAGTTTCGCCAGCTGGGGGGTCGTGGATGCACACTGCTGAAGTGTACCATATTAGGACGAAACGGCCATGCAGTGCTTCCAGGTTTCTGATAATGGTCTAGCAACGACTGAATCGTGATTTCACTCATATATATATATATATATATATATATATATATATATATATCCTTGTTATACTCATCAGATTTGAAATATTGACCTTAACAACTTGGTGTCAAATTTTAAATACAATATTTAGATAAATAAGAATGCCAAGATAGCATCTATTTATTGTTCTACTGTCTAGCAGAGACAATTTTTCTTTGAATAGAAATAAAGATATGTAAATATATCTGATGAATATATATTCCCAATCAGAAATCTCCGAATGAATGGTAGCTTGCGAAACTTCAACTCGTATTTCAGTAATTATATTTCCAAAGACAAATGACACATTGACTGCTAAGCTGAAGTGGATATGCCTACATGCTGTTAAATTACGAGGTTATTTTTCACCAAAGATAGTTAAGTAGGACGATTCATAAATCCGTGAATATGGTTTTGTATGTCATGGTAAAATCTTAAATTGAATTCCACAGAATATAATAAGATTCAAATAGAATATGTCTATAACTGAACAGCCTGATAGTCATTTTTAGTGTTTCACAAGATATGATGATAGTTATTAGTTATAGTTCTTTGTTGTCGAATTCATCTAAAATGATTGTAAACAAATGATTGAATTTGACTTATAATAAATTGAACTGTTTAACTTTATTTATTTCATAATGCAATCCAGAAACTGACTGTGGGTGGATGTAAAGCTCACTTGATCACAGATTCCTTTAAGTTATTGATTAGTAATTGTTGAAAGTCCTTGAATACTCGATCATTTCACACTCATTCAGTCAGTCAGTTGCAACGTAGAACTTCATACGTATGTACATAAGTTCAGGTTTCCATACCACATTAGCACAGAGACGCAAATGTCAATTCAAATCCCATAGTGATAAAGATAGTAGAGGTATTAATGGTAATGAAGAAGACTAGGGTTCGAAGAAATTATTCAAGAAGTATAATTAAGTGAAATAAGGTTAGAAAGACAGAGGTAGAGGTGCTGACGAATCCAGAAGATTAGGATTTGAGAGAGATCAAAAATGGATGCACTTGCGCCATTACAAACGATTTTGAGCCATGTCGTTCAAGGTCTCTAACCCTTAATGACTTTCGTCTCGCGGACACCAACCAGTTAGTCTACATCTACCAACATGACTCAGTCTACTAGTCAGTGACTTCATGGATTTCTTCCATGTTTTGGTCTGGCCGCCCCTAGCTTTCTTCCAATCTACTCCTACACAACAAAACAAAGCTCGTCGAGGCAGTCGGTGGTTAGCCATACGTAACACATGTCCCAACCACCTCAACTGATGAAGCTTCATTACTTCATCTATTGATCTGCCATCCTTACCTAGTACTCGTTTCCTAACGACAGCATTGCTTACTCGGTTGTCCCACGATATACGAGCAATGCTTCTTAAACATCTATGATCGAATACTAGTAACCTACGAACATCTTCTACTCTTAACGGCTATGTTTCACATCCATATAGGAGAACGGAGCGAACTGCTGCGCAGTACACTCGTCCTTTGGTTAGCGAACGGATATCACACCTACGCCATAAGTGACGCAGGTTGGCAAAAGCCAATCAAGCTTTCTGTATCCGCGCTGAGATTTCGTCTCATTTCACACTCATCGAATATCGATCGCTTCAAAGTATTTGGACTATTTTACTACTGACTAGCATTTACAGTTACTAACATATTGCATAAAATTTAATGATACGATTAAGAAGTTAGATACCATTAATGCTGTGTGAGACAATAAATTTTAAGGAAAGATTTAGAAATTAAATGATCACGTTTCGAAGATTTTTCTAATTAAGCTAAAGAATACAAGGATATATGGGTAGATGAATTAAAACCTCTTATTAAGTCCGTATGGACAGATGTATGATAACTTATTGTTCAATCAATATTTGCACTAAATTTCCAGTGTAATTCGAACTGTTTATCGACGTGATAGACTTGTTAATCGATCATTTTTTTTAATAATTTGCATTACTGCTTGATACTCCTCATCAATAACTATGGAGAATTGGATAAATTTTTATTGAAGATAGAAACAGCTGTCAAATATTCAATGATTTTTATCTGCTCGAAGTCAATTCATATCGTAAACTAACTTCAATTGGTCGTAAATTAAGGAAAACGTGTGATTCAAGTGTATTGGTTTGCATTGCCTCATCGGACTAGTACACTGATATGAAATTGCCAAAGTAGTAAATGTAGTAACAGTATCAGTAATAGTACTAAATATCAAGTAAATCGGAATTAATTCGTTAGGATAAAAAAAATATAAGATAATTTAATAATTCAGATCTCAGTGGAAAACAAAATATGAATGCACCTGCGCAACTGCGATCGATTCTCAGCCATGTCAATAAATATCTTACGTTTAATCATTTCAACTACTTAATTGATCAAAGTAGTATCATAATTTTTCGAAAAGTTATAAGCCTAAAAACTCGAAATGGTAACTAGTAATAAGGTTCAAGTAGCTTTATTTATATATTAAATAAAATCATTTAAATGATCTAATCCACAAAAAATTCATTCATGATGAACTATTAATCAGACTCACTTCTTCAAATTTAACATCCCAAACATCTTTTCTCATAAAATTCTCAATATTTTGGAATTTAACAGATGATGAAAGACTATTGGAATTGTCCGGTATAAAATGTAGCCGAAAAATACCCAATTCATCAATCACACCTAAACAACTAGAAAAGAAATCTTATTGAAAGTATAATAATATTAGGTAGGTTATAGTTCTTCACATCATGAAATGACTATAGGTAGATATGTACTAAAACTAGAAATCATTAGATAACTGCTTTGTCCTGGTTTGGGACTACTACTCTATAGTGTGTATCCACGACTCCACTAAGGGTTGAACCATTTAGGTGTACTGACTTTGAGACTACGCAGTTGGTATCCGTTGGTTTAAATTTATCAGTTCAGCCAATCCAAGGAATTTCGTAACCACCATCCAATAAAATTGGCGTCTGACTGCTTCACCCTTAAGGTGGCTGAACTCCTATGTAGCCGCGGTTCCTCATTAGAAATTTGGGAATTAGCTGCTGAAGTAACTTTCTTTAATGCAGAGTAAGTAACACAACTAAATGGTCAATATTAGGACGAATAAATGACTGACAATTTGATCATTAATGTAGTTGTAGCGTAAGATAAATCAATCTAAATTGAATTCATTTCACTTACGTTGCATTACAATTGACATAGATTCGATATGGACAATTATAACCAATGGAAAATTTCATTTCATAATATAAATCAGGCAATCGGTAAATTTGTATTAAACCAGAATCTCGAGCAATCAACAAACGTCTAGTGGAATGACTAATTGTCAATGTAGCTATCGGATCAGATGTAACTGGTTGATTCATTAAATTCCAGTCAATTTCTGTTTGAAATATTGGTGTAGTAGTATCTTCATTAATTGAGTTGGATGAGACAGTTTTCATTGAAATAGTATCAATATGATAAAGTCTAAAAAATGTAATCAATATGTATGAAATGTTTGTATGAGGTGGAGGAATTTCAAGATGATTTAGAGTTTCTGAATAGTGGTGTAGTGAAAGAGAACACAGGTGGAGCAACCGAGTTGTATTTAACGAAAATTACAGAGTTACTCAGTAAAATTGGAAAACCATATCGTCGTAAACCGTTCATTTGCAAAATATCAGTTCATCTCATATCGAACTGGACTGTTCCTGTTGCAAACAACATCAATCCATTGTCACTATTCATGCGTTTCATACAAATTCCATTGTGTTCTAACTCTTCCTCTCTTGATCTTCCCTCATCTTCTGCTGCCAGACATTATGTTGACACTCACGTCATATACTACTTATAAGTAGCTCACACCACAGTGGTAATAACATTGAATTGAATTAACACTGCTTTCATATTATCACATTAAGTCTTACAGATGTATCAAAAGTTGGAATAAATCTAATCACCAGTTGAAACTGATGATATTGGTCGTTAGATTTCACTTTATTAGTCGAAGAAAGAATGCTTTGAAAGGAACCTGAAGTTTTCATAACATATCTTCAGTGGTACTGAAAAAAAATTCACTACCGCACATTAGAATCAAACACTTACTAAGTTCAAATCGTACCCTGGTAGAAGCAAATAGGTCAGTAAACAGTAAAGGCTCTCTGTGATTGTAGCTGAATACGTTGTATGAAATATGAACGTACAGGAGAGAAGGGTACCACGTTTCTTTCGGACATGTATACATCCTCTAACAGCTTTATAATTGATCGAACATTGAGTAGTGAAAAGTATGCTGTTTTTTTAAAGTTTTTTAGTGCTGTTGGAATTCTATATTGTTACCAATAGTCTGATCAACACAATATCTCATGCACAAATTTCTGATATTAGACAGCTCGAAGTAATCGACAGAAAACCACATGATATTCGTTTGTCAAGATTATATTCAGATGAAACACTATTCAAACACTAGGTTAGCAAAAGATTACAAGTCGTATTTATTATGGTCAAGATTTCATATGTTCATCAACGTCGCTGATTCATCACTTTACTGCTGATTATTTTAACTTTCAAAATCTAAGATGATGAAATATCTTAACATTAAGAAAGATAAAATAAGGCAAACTTTATTGACTACTTATTCCATATTTAAGTAGTTAGAGTCTATATAGAATAATATCAAGTAAATGGTTGGTCATGATTTATTACATAAATGAAAGCTCCCCATTGTTCTTGTGTTAACTAGGTGATTAAAACACATAAAATGTAATTCTACGCTCTTTCCTGAATAAAATCAAACTCACCCAATCATATTTTCCAACTTACATTTCTGTATTTACCAAAATATAAACTTATACTCAATATCGAGCGAACAGTGACCCTCATTTTCAACATGTTAACTCTATATCTTGCTACATACCATCTGACAGAAGTTTGGCCTGATAAATTCCATGGAAAATCAAGAAGTCGCGATCAATTCAAATCATTTTTTTAGACAATACAACATTCGACCAACTTTTACTTTCATATATATATAGTTTTTTAACTAACCTTTCAATTCCATCACGTTGACGTAGTGTTGATGGTGTAAATTTAAAGCCTAAATCAAGTAATTGTTTCGGTGTAAAATATTGCCAAGCATAAATGAAACTTTTATTAATTAGAACAATTTGATTTGAAGTCATCATTGATTGGATTGGTTCAAATTGTACACGTTTCGATTCAATGGCAACACCGATTGCAGTATACATGGTTAAAATAACCTAAAATGTTTAAATATAACTAATGTTATCATGATTTTAAACAAACTCTGCCTGTAGACCCTTTGAGGCTACAGCCGATCCCAAGCCCGGATAAAGAAGAAGGGTTGGGAGTGGGTTTGAAGACCCCAACCCGCACAAAACTAACTCGAAAAAATAATTCAAATCATATAAACTCTGCTCTGGGAGTTAGAAGGTCTTCACGTCTCATGATGAAAGCCGAGTTCCTTCAGAAGTCATGAGGCCGATACCCCTTCTGACAACCAGAACCCTTCCACGGTGTGGGCAGCCGGGAAGTTACATTCGCCCTCATACCCATAAAAGCACACGAGACCGAATTGGTCACAACCAAATCCTTTATACAGCTCTTAATAACTCTTTTATCTCCTCGACCAACCCTTCTTTCGATCGTTTATCACCTCATGCCACTGAAGCAAACGGTATGAGCTCACAAAACATTATTCCTGGTCTCCTGAAACCCCGTACTAAATTACATATTGGAACTTTAAATGTTCGAACCTTGTGCCAAATAGGGCAACAGGCTTCATTAGCTAGAACTCTGAAATCCTGTGCAATCAACGTATGTTGCATCTCTAAAACGCGCATACAAGATCCGAGTAATATCATCAATTTTATTTCACCTAGTGTAGACAAAGAAACAACACGGTATGTCAACTTAAACTGATATACGTACGTACGAAGTTCAACGTTGCTATTGATTCAATGACTGCTTGATTTTAACAAATAATTTGTGACTATCAATCGTTGTTATTTGATGCAAACGAAAGTTACATCATTTCTACAATCTTAATGTTACATGAATACACTTAGCCATACTAATAATTCAGTTACTTATAACCTCATGCATTATAATCGGTGGTATTTGTGAATATATTTCAATCATGCGAAGTAAAAGTTGACAGTCAAACAACTACTTACTATTTCTGTAGACAAATCGAATGGTGTATAACATTGTCTTATAGATAATTATCAAAAACCTATCATCAATACATGGCAACTTTGTAACATTGTTGAACTGTGATTATATGATAGATTTTAATAGAATCAGACAATTGCAATAAATATTGTCTATATATACTAATACACGCTGGAAGTGCATATGGTTTAATCACATTAAAAGTGATTTTGTTTCATACTACTGAAACGTTATATAGTAATATAAAATTACTGTTTAGTACTACTAGGCTTTTGGTCTGTGAACTAAAATAAGTAGGATTTTTATATCTTCATTTTATAGACACCGAAATGGACAATCTTTTGATCAGCTGTCATGAAACCACGGAAATGTAGGGATGAATTTATTAAGGTCACACGATAATCACTTCGTATAAAAAAACTGCACAAAATGTTTTCTTAAGCTTATGACAATATCACTTTTGAGTTAAAATAAAAGTGTAACTTGAAATTGGATAGTTAATGTTATGATCTTCACTAGGTATGCTTGAAACTATTATGAGTTTACCTTAGTCAATAAACGAGAACGAGACAATGAACTAGCGTCCAGGTAGGCTACTCTGACCCGTTGACACAAAACATGTAACGAGAAGTCTTGATATAGCTTTGAAAGTATATTCTACAAACACCCAGCAAGCACAATACAATCAAGCACACACAGATCTCGTTTATTTATACATCGTAGAAACGTCCTTGGGAGAGTCACAAAAATAGCACACTAAAATACACAGTACCCAATCACAGTCAAGGATTTTCTTGGTGGGAAATGAAATCTCAACGTCAGCTGATCAGCCCATGCTCGGGAACATAAAATCCAAAATTAAGACATTTATCAAGCGAGTTCTAGGGATCATCTAACGTCCCCAACAGTTAATTTCCTTATCTTTGCGTAATGAAACAATCTCAGATTGTGGAAATTATTAAGATTTGATTGTAACTTGAATAACAAGTATTGTAGCGCAATTTTTTATTGAAAATGAAGCATGACAATTGAGTCACAACATCGTTTCATGAAATGATAAAATTGAAAACATTCAATGAAAGCGCCTTTGAGATATGTTTGATGATTCAATTTAAACAAAAGGACAATAGATATACAATTTCATTTGTAACCATGAATCGATCAATGTTAGACCACCATTAGAAACCTGGAAGCACTCACTGGACGGCCGTTTCGTCCTGGTATGGGACTCATCAGCAGTGCGCATCCACGACTCCTGCTCCTCGCAAGATTCGAACCCGGGACCTTTGGCATTGTACGCGAACGCCTTACCATCGGACCACTGAGCCGGCATCCAACGGTGTTAGTGTCTAACTTGATCAAATTCACGGAGTTGCACAACCTCATACACTGTATACATCCGAACAGGTTTGAACTTCACTGGTCACGACTTTCCTTTTTCATGATAAAAATTAAACGTTGTTGATTAGATTAAAAAACTTGAAAACTTACTCCTTTACTAGTAGTATCATTAGGTTTACAAATCAAACATACATAATCTTCTGAAGCACAAATATCAATTAAATGATGAACTGAAATAATTTTTGTCTACAATAGTAATAAAATAATAACATTAAAAATTAATCAAGATGTTCAATGTATATTCTATTTTCAATAATTAACATGTTTAAATCGTAAACATAATAGACTGCTGACATATTGAAGTTAATTTACTCGATGACATGAGTGAGTAAAAGGAAGGCGAGTGTCATAAAGTTGTTGGATCTATTATCATTGTGACAAATCTTAGGTTATGTAACAAATGTTTTATGACATATTAACTTCTAGAATCGTCAGAGCTAGTACGTCCACAGTATCCCAGGCTATGTTAGTTTCCATTTAATAAATATATCAATGATAACCTTAATAAAATCGATTTGTTAGTGTCAGGATATTTGTGGAGATCATAGAATAGTTATTGGTTTAAGCCATGAACTAATCTTTGTTACATTACGAATGAGCAGTTATTCCTTCTCCCATCCACGTGCATTCATGACCCTGAATTCTGGAGTCTGACTCAGGACTTTCGGTGTCGCTTGCTAGTGTTTAAACTTAAACCACTGAGTCGGTATCTAACGATGTTGATATCTAACTTAACTAGATTTGCGATATTGCATAACCCTTAAACATTTATTGCCTGTTGAGGATAGCTGTCTCATATTCAACATGATTTATTTTCACTTTTCATGACACTTGTTCTGACCAACTAGCACACTAAAACAAGTGGTAGAGTTCTGAAATAAAATTTCTTTACACAGAAATCTAATTGATGCAGAAAAACTCAACTCGGAAAGAAATATTTCTGGAGATACTGAGGATATGAGTACGTGAAAAGTGAAATTGTCAATAAATTGAAATTATTCTTGAATAACACAACAAATTTTAGTTCAAATATCAACAAGTCTGTCAGTCAGTCAGTTGCAACGTAGAACTTCGTACGTACGTACATAAGTTCATGTTGCCATACCATCACATTAGCACAGAGACGCAAATGTCAAATCAAATCCCATAGTGATAAAGATAGTAGAAGTATTAGCGGTAATGAAGAAGAATAGGGTTCGAAGATATTATTCAAGAAGTATAATTCAGTGAGATAAGGTTACAAAGACAAAGGTAAAGGTGCTGATGAATCCAGAAGATTAGGATTTGAGAGAGCTCAACGAATGGATGCACTTGCGCCATTGAAAACGATTCTGAGACATGTCGTTCAAGGTCTCTAACCATTGCTGACTTTCGTCTCGCGGACCCCAACCAGGTAGTCTACATCTACCAACATGACTCAGTCCACTTGTCAGTGACTTCATCGATTTCTGCCATGTTTTGGTTTGGCCGCCCCTAGCTTTCTTCCAACCCACTCCTACACCACAAAACATAGCTCGTCGAGGCAGTCGGTGGTTAGCCATACGTAACACATGTCCCATGTTTCACAGCCATATAGGAGAACGGAGCGAACTGCCGCGCAGTACACCCGTCCTTTGGTTAGCGAACGGATATCACGCCTACGCCATAAGTGACGCAGGTTGGCAAAAGCCAATCGAACTTTCTGTATCCGAGCTGAGATTTCGTCAGTCACCAGACCGTCAGCACTGATGAGACTCCCAAGATAAGTGAAGCGATCAACACGCTCGACTACTTCACTCCCTATCACTAGTTTAGGTGCCGATGCAACCCAGTCTTGAAGTAACATTTTGCATTTCGAGGGGGAAAACCGCATCCCGAACATGCTTGCATTGTTGCTTATGGTAGTCAGAAGACTCTGCATTTTATCAGCGTCTTCATCGAATAGAACTATGTCATCGGCATATACTAGATCAGTAAGCGACTTTCCTGGTAGAAGGTCAACCCCTGAAAAATCTGACTAGCTTAATGTTAACTGTAAGAGGATGTCTACGACAAAGTTAAACAAGAATGGAGAGAGTGGACAGCCCTGACGGACACCACTTGATGTAGAGAATTCAGATGACAGTTCGTCATAAGCTCTCACTCAACCAGTAGTGTTCGAATAGAGTGCTTGTATAAGGTTAATGTACTTCTTTGTTACACCTTTCAATGACAGACACTGCCACAGTCTGTATAAAAAGTGATTACGTAATATCCAAATCTCCACATTAGTCTTCCACTTGAATTTTCTGCCTCAAAAATTTGAATATTGATAAAATGAAATAATGATTACAATAATGTGATAAGGTGTTTGAATGCAATAAGACACTAAAAAAATCCCATCAACAAACTCATGATAATAAAATATCTTTAAGACAGTCATTAGTAGAAAACCAGTAAACATTGAACAGTAAATAGCTAAATGTTAGTTTATTTGTGATCTTACTAACAGTCTATAATCTCCACAGCTTCACATACACATAATAAAATATCAACTCTCTGAATTAGGCTAATTTATATTTTCAGAATGGACCTACAATCAACACCTCACCCTACCTAACGGATTTCCGTCTCCGGAGGTAAGGGTGCCTACTAAGGGCTTTTAAAAGCGGAGCTAATACTCAAAAAACCTTTCATAAAAAGGCCGTGCGTGACCGGCCTCAAGCAGTTGTCCGTTTGGGCACTGCGGTCACGCTCCTAGGTCCCTAAGACCGTCACTAATCTACCTTCTATTTCAGGTTCCTCAAGAAACAACCTTCCACGGTGTGGGCAGCCGGGATGTGACAACAGCCCTCATACCCATAACAGCACGCGAGATCATATAGGTCAAAATCAAATCCTTCATACCCGTAACTTACAATCATAACTCTACAGTTATTCAAAGTCATATATCTTTCAAAAAGTACGTTTTATTATAAGAACCAATTGGAGTGAACTACTGTGTGTTCCCACTCTTACATTCACTCTGATTTTAAATGAAACAACTATTTTTATAACGAAAAAGTGTTGTTCTGGTTAGACTATTGATCATTGAACTAACAAACCACAAATTTCAAATTTTTAACTATCCATTTTAACTAAAAAACATACAATAACATAACATAAATCAATACTACTTGATAATAAATAAACAAGTAAATAAAGTAGTATCTGGCATATTAAGTGTCACAGTTTTTAATTTTTCACATCATATCTTACTTTGTGTTTTTTTAAATTCCAAAATACAATAGAATGTTCAAATGTATTATTTGTACGTGAACAATTGTAAACAATAGTATTTGCTGTTGAACTATAAGCCCATTTATAATGTGGACGTAAATTAGCAAAGTATAAAAAAGAATCAATAGCTAAAGCTAATCTCAACGAACCATTACCTTCCCATGTACATGCTGTTAATGATTTACCCGGTATAAATAATGTACGTAATTGCTATTAAAATGAAATAGAAAAATTATCAAGAAAAAAAAATCTGTATTCAATAAAATTAGGTAAATATGATAAAGATGAAATTGTATTTTACTCGATAGACTACATATTTCATGATAAGAGTAAAAATATATACACATATTTTTTGAGAAACTGTTAGGATATTCATCCAATATCCTAAGAGAATTATTTTTGTAAGTCTAATTCTATTGGACAATTCCTATTGATTAATTCCCGTTGGTTGTCCTGACTATCAAGGTCACTTCAAATGTTGTTTCCTATTGGTCGACCTAAATTTCAATGTCACGCACTTTAAATGTTGTTTCCTATTCGACCTAACTATATAAATATGCATTATCTGTAACGTTTTACGACCCGGACCCTTATCCTATTCCGGACTTGGATCTCGTACTTTCTGGATGCTTGTAGAATACATGTTCTACTTCACGTCTAGTCTTCTTTTTTTACTCAATTAGGGCTTGGGGAACTCGGATTAGAGCAGCCTGTTGGGTTATCGATTATCGCTCTCGTTCACCGATTAAGGTAAACTCGTAATAGTTTAAGTATACCAAATGACCTGTTGACTTGCATTCGTAACAGAAACTTGAGAAACCGTGTGTTCTGACTATGATTAAATTAAATAAACAAAGAGATAATTATGAGTTTTGAAAAATTTGAATTAGTACAGACAAGCTATCTTACTTCACTGACTAAAAATTCGAAAAACTTGAAGTGGATATACTATCGCGTACTTCATTTACCAAATATTGATTTATAGACTAGAACAGATCAGTGTCATATTGTTTAGTCCTATTGTGGTGCGAGCTACTTATAAGTAGTATATGACGTGAGTGTCAACATAATGTCTGGCAGCAGAAGATGGGGGAAGATCAAGAAAGGAAGAAGAGTCGGAACACAATGGAATTTGTATGAAACGCATGAATAGTGACAATGGATTGATGTTATTTGCAACAGGAACAGTCCAGTTTGATATGATGAACTGATATTTTGCAAAGTAACGATTTACGATATGGTTTTCCGATTTTACTGAGTAACTCTGTAATTGTCGCTAAATAATCCGGTTGTCCCACCTGTGTTCTCGTTCACTACACTATGAGATAATCCCAACTTTTACAGGCCTAAAATACTTAAAACTGCTAAAAAAAACCCATTTTATTCGTGGTTTTTGAGTGAAAATAGCTACTTTTCTATAGGGGTTTAAGAGTATTTTCTTACATAAATTCACTTTCAAGCTAAAACTGGGGAGTTTTTATATCGGCAAATAAGATTTTTAATGACAGTTATACCAGTCATGAAATGAAGTTACAAACAAATGCAAACTTATTCCTTTGCGAGCATTGTAATTATCTATACCAAATAGTTAGCATTCCTCGGGCAAATTCACCTTCATTTATTTTTCTAGACCCATAATATTCTTTCCTATTCTAACATTTTCAAGTATTACCAACAAAAAAAAACGTAAATTATAGCTTACATTACCATGTGGATTGTAAAATTGTACAACGTTGATATTACGATCATTTGATATTTGTGTTCCAGCTATAGCTAACATAGATCCATCTTCATTCCAACAAGAACATGTTATTTGAATTCCAGTATCTAATAGAACTGGATCTAAAAAAATAAATAAAATTGACAATATTAAAGTTTATGAAAAAAAAGTAAAAGCTGAAGTTCATATTAAAATTTGTATAGCGTTGTTCACTGGATAACTTGCACAACTATACGCCATATATAATTGTGGTGCGAGCTACTTATAAGTAGTATATGACGTGAGTGTCAACGTAATGTCTGGCAGCAGAAGATGGGGAAAGATCAAGAAAGGAACAAGAGTTAGAAAACAATGGAATTTGTATGAAACACATGAATAGTGACAATGGATTGATGTTGTTTGCAACAGGAACAGTCCAGTTCGATATGATGGATTGATATTTTGCAAATGAACGATTTACGATATGGTTTTCCGATTTTACTGAGTAACTCTGTAATTTCCGTTAAATACAATCCGGTTGCCCTACCTGTGTTCGCGTTCACTACATAATAAAATACATTTAAAAGAGAACTACAGATCAATTAGGTTTCAATTTCACATCTGATTGATACGGCTCATATTCATAATTACATTGATGCTATTGCATTCGATTTTTATCTACCCTTAAATAGTGAGTGACCTTCGAACTCACGAACTCACTTTTCCCTTTTTTAATTCCTCTTCTCTATGCCTAATATATTTATACTACGATTGATACTACTGCTACGTTGGCAAAAACCATGACTGACGAAATCTGAGCACGGATACAGAAGGCTCAATTGGCTTTTGCCAACCTGCATCAACTATGGCGCAGGCGAGATATCCGCTTGCTAACCAAAGGACGATTGTACTGTGCAGCAGTTCGCTCTGTCCTATTATACGAATGCGAAACATGGCCGGTTAGAGTAGAGGACTTTCGTAGATTACTAGTCTTCGATCATCGATGTCTCCGAAGCATTGCTCGTGTATCATGGGAAAACTGTACAAGCAATACTGTCGTTAGGAAACGGGTACTAGGTAACGGTGGCAGATCAATAGATGAAGTAGTGAAACTTCATCAGTTGAGCTGGTTGGGACATGTGTTACGAATGCCTAACCACCAACTGCCTCATCGAGCTATGTTTTGTGGTGTAGGAGTAGATTGGAAGAAAGCTAGGGGCGGCCTAACCAAAACATGGCACAAATCCATGAAGTCACTGACAAGTGGGCCTAGTCATGTTGGTAGATGTAGGCTATCTGGTTGGGGTCCGCCTAGACGACAGTCATCAATGGTTAGAGACCTTGAACGACATGGCTCATAATCGTTTGCAATGGCGCAGGTGCATCCACTCTTTGTGTACTATGAAATTCTAACCTTCTGCATTCCTCATAATCTCTACCTTTCTCCTTCGAAATTTATCTTACTGAATTATACTTCTCGAATCATATCTTCGCTCCCTAATCTTCTCCATTACTGCTAATACTTCTACTATTGATATCACTCTTGGATTTGAACTGACAGTTGCGTCTCTATGCTGACGTGGTATGGCAACCTGAACTGATGTACTCTTATGTACGAAGTTCTGCATTGTATCTGTCTGTCTGACTATTAACTCAAAAATGAGACGCACAGATTTCAGCATCACAGAGAGAATTTATGAAATTATACATAACATACATACTAAATATTCATTCTTTTGTCAAATAATGCAGTTATGCTAAATTTTATTCCATGTGGTAAATTATTTAATTTCATCGGATCTAACTAAAGTTTGAAAACTTTTAAGTTCTCGATTGCTTGAAAAAAATGTATAAAATGAGGATCTTATTCTTTGAATTTTCTAAAGGATAGTGTTAAAACCAATTGTACATGATTTGTAAAAGAGAGAGTTTTAAAAGCATTAGGCAGGATTATTTGTACGTCTTGAATTCCGTCATCAGTCGTAACTAGAAAAGTACGCTCTAGCAAAAGAGTGATTTTCAGTTTATGTATAATGATGGGACGGCGTTTATGAAATGTTCATTTGTATTTGAAATATGTTGTAGTGGTTTACTTTTATGAAGAAAACACAACTGTTGAAATATAAACATTTATTATTGTACTTAATTCTGATAATAATTGTTATATTGTACACCTTTTTGTTTATCTGTTCTTAAGACTATCTCTCGCGCGCGACAAGCGTATTATTCCCGTTCTCCTCTTTGCACGCCTCCTGCGTGAATGTTAGCCATTTGTACGCCCTCTTGCCTCGATATTATTTCGATATCAGGAGGCTAGTGTCAAATATACTTCTTCCTTTAGAATCTATTTCTTATTTGATTCTCAGAGTTCGTGAAGTAACATTTGTTCTCCCGCGAAGAAGTATATCATACGAATCGCTATACTGTAATGAAATTAATGAATATAAAGTCTAAGTTCAATACTTATCACGGCTATCTACATATGGATTACTCAAAAGAGTCATTTAAGTGTGAGTTGCTGCATAAAAGATGTTATACAACATGAATCCCCTCAAATTTATTGTTAACTTAAATGCCAAAAACTTAAAAACATAAATATTTATATAGTAACATCAGAATCAACCTGGATCTTCATGATTTTTCATCAATTGACAACGTCCAACATCGTAACATACAGCCAAAGAAGGTAGATTCCTTGTACCATAATTATTTTTTCCTTTATACCAATCTAAGCTTATAATTCGAGCAGCACCATGTATGTTGTTTAAACAATAAGTGGGCATTTTTTTCTAGAACACCGTAATCATTAAAATTTCAAAAAAAAAATAAAAATTAAATGTTAAAACATAAAATAATGTAGTCGGATGAATGAAAAATATCTTAGTTTTTGAGTTATTTCTGAACAATTAGTATCAATTTATGCGTCTGATGAAAATTGGACAGATAGGTAATAATAAAATGAAGTACGGTTGTTTCACTTTACAGTCAAAGAGAGAAAATAGATAAATTAAAGAAGGAAAACAAATAAGAAAGGTAATCAGCTAGTCAAAACAACTTGGAGTATGGTTCAACAAAAACAACACACAAGTTATGACAAACTAGACAAGGATAAAAACTCATTTGAGCAAAAGCTATTCTTGTTGTGGTGAGATAACTAGTTTATTGAAAAGCGATGTTGTTGAAATAGCCAGTGTTGGTAGATTTTGTAAATATATGGAAAATACGACCTAAAAAGTCTTATTCGTTTAGTATTAATCTACTGGTTGCACAACGCACAAACGAAATATTAAATAATTAAATGAGAAACATAATAGACTTAATCATTTCACATGTATCAAAGACGATTGAGTCAAATACTGCGTTTTAAAATATTTTGGTATCATGGATTACATCTCTTCATCAAACATCATGCGGAAACATGAAACGGAATCTTTCAGGATAAGATCAAACACTGTTGATTAACTTAGACTTCCTAGTCGGTATAGTAATATTTATTCAACTAATTTTTATCTCTGCACAAATATATTATATTATGAAATACTGGGTTTCGATTAATAACCGGCAGTTAACAGCTAGAAATTTGCGTTGATTATCCTACGAGTATAAGGCTCTGTATTTATCATTTTTGTATAGTTAATCAACATTTTGATTATCGTTTTGGTTATTACCGCAAAACAAAACAAATGGATACAATAAAGTCCAAAATGATGAACATTTTATGGCTAAAAAATTAATTATAAGGTGTTTTGAAATGCATAAGCGGCTTGATAATTCAATTTAAAATTATTTCCATATACCAGGAAGTTTCCGCAACCATCAAAGACACAAATTTCCCCCGTCAGGTAGCCAAAAAGCAGGATATTTCCGTCAGGTGACCACTCAACTGATGTTAAGCTTCCATTTTTCAAATCTTTCCCCCAGATTCTGTTACCATCGACTGACCCAACAATTGCAGCTCCGTCTTCATATACAATACATATTCTTTGACCATCACAGTCCCACTAAATCTCACTTTAAACTATGAACAGGCAAATTACTTTCATATCTTGAACAGAAGATTTGTTCCTGTTATTAATCATCTCTTCATACCAAGCCCCATTATATAGCATCCAAACGATTATAAGGCCATTTTGGTCAGATGTGGTAATCTTCTTAAACTTTTCATTCCACACGATCACTTGGACATCGTCTGTTAAATACGATATTTTTCATTTGACTAGATTATTAACCTGAATGTCCTTCCAAAGTTTGATTCATTACTAAGTTTGTTTGTGCAGCAAGACCTTTATGTTTAACATCACTCTGTACTTCAAGTTTTAAAACTTTTAACAGGCCATCCTCTCCGCCACAAGCTACATATCCATGCTCTTTACTCCATGATGCTGATCTTAATTTTGTGTTATTAGGTGTCGCAATTTTTTTGCTTAAATATGCAAACATATTTGAAAGTACAGTAGTTACAAATAGTGAATAATTAGTGGCAGTAGGTAATTCAAACAAACAACATTGCAAAAATTCTTGTAACCATTGCCAGGAAGGAAGTAAATAAATTAAACGACACAAAACTAACCCTTATCTACTTTTTTGACTACTTTTTGGTGAATTTATCACATCATCCTAAATACCTGGAAAATTAACGAAACACCACTTTGAACCAAAGTGATTGTTTTTGAGGACTTATTTTTGTGAATAGAGAGTAGAGTTAAGACTGTCTTAATTCCAGTCAGTTGATAATCACATATGAAGTTGCATAGTAGATTTAGTTGAGTGTATCCTTCTCGATGTCATAAAGCTTATGGATACCAACGGATTCCACATTTATAGGCCGGATATCGTTTCCCATATAACTTTTTTTCTCTGTGCTCGATTCTTGTTCTTTCGGTACGTTTCCAGGTAGTTGGTAGTGTCCAATAGATGATAGTGTAGTCACTTGGCTTCAGTTGGAAGCAATTTATGTATTTGTTTCCTGTGATATGAATTAGTAAGTTTGTTTCAGAGCAGTAAGATTTCTGCTGGAAAATTTCAAAACTATGTAAATAATTAAGTAAGTTCATCGGTGAGAGGACAGGAATGTAAAAAAGAGAAAGGAAACAGACATAATAAGCGAAGCTGATGGAGTTAGTGGTCTGAGGAAATGACAATCAGAACAACAAGCACGTTTCTGGACATTCATCAAGCACCGCTAGTCAAGACTGTTGATGTCAATCCGTATGTGAGTACGTTTATCTGAAACAGTGCTAGAAATAATTCTGGGGAAACTGTGCCAAGTTTCATCCGCATAAATTAAAGAGTCGCGTTGGCCTTGGATGCATCTCCTACGTAGTTCAAAATGGTGTTTGGGTTTTCTGTGGTTATTAAACCGTGATGACGCCCTAAGGAGACATTAGAGAGCAGACATCCATTTGGGGTGTAGTGGTTTGTGTTACGTTGGCAGAATGTTCATAATGGGGCAATTCGATCAGATTAATTTTAACCTATTTCCTCCTACCCATTCGTCAATTGGAGTACTGACCTTTTGGAGATAAGTTGAGTTTCCTATGCTTATGATACACCTCCAGATGATTGCATCGTCCACACTGATCAGTACCGCCAATCTAATTTTGCCTGACAGACAGAAAGCTACAACGGTGAAATTCGTACGTATATACATCGGTTCAAGTTGCCATACCATATTAGCACGGAGATGAAATCGCCACTCGAAATGGAATGAATTGGATGTATCAGCGTTAATTAAAAAAAGATGAGAATTTGAAAATTTTATCAAAGGAGTATAATCCAGTGGAATAAATTTGAGAAGAGAAAGATGAACTTTTCAAGGAATTCATACCACAGTTTGAGCGAAGTTGAAGATTGGGTGCACCTGCACCATTGCAAACGATTTTGATTCATGTCATTCAAAGTACCTAACCATCGGTTACTACCATCTGATGGACCCCAAACTGTTAGTCTTCATCTGCCGATTTGGCTCAGTCGATTTTTCAGTGAATTCATGGACTTGTGAAATATTTTGGTCTGGTCAGCCCTAGCTTTCTCCCATCCTACCAACACACCACAAAACATAGATCGTCGAGGTAGATGACAGCCTGGCATAGACAACATATGTCCCAACCACTTCTACTGATGAGGTTCTATTACTTCATCTACAGATTTACCACATTTTCTTAGTACACTTTCCTTACATCAAAACTTCTGATCTGATGGTCCCGGTATATACGAGCGGTGCTCTGAAGACATCCATGATCGAATACTACACTTAGTGACCATATTTCACACTCATCCTTTGTTTGTCGGAAGGACATCTCGCCTACGCCGTAAATCATGAAATTCGGTATCAGATAGTCGGGCGTTCTGCATTATTGCTGAGATTTCGTCAGACCTCAGGCCATCAGCACTGTTAAGACTCCCAATATAAGTGAAGCGGCCCACACGCTCAACTACTCCACTCACTGCCACCAGTTCAGATGTATATACAAACGAACCATTGTCTTTTCTTAGGTGCCTTGTGATGTTCTAGCAGCTGCTTATAGTGAACAAGATTCGCCTTAGCTCATTCGGATCGGACAGTACAGTTTAACCAAGGGTCTCTGAGATGTTCATGGGATCACTTCGGCAACCTGTCCTGAGTCAAAGTTTACCATTAAAGGGTTGCGTTAGCATTTAGGGACGTCCTGCCTCTTGAACAGACGAAGCAACTTAGAAGAAAGCAGTTGAGTGAGAAAGCGAGACCTATCGCGCAGTGGTTCTGACTCGGAATGATAACGCTTGTCTGCATTGATCTCAGACTGTCAGCCACTAAATTGAGACAAAGTTTAAATCCTATGGAATGATTTAATGTCGAAAACTGGACTGTTTTCTGTAAATGGTGAGAGGTCAATGAGGACGAGATGAATAACGTCGAGACATATTAGGGCAACAACCTACAGAATTGATAATGATGACAACTTACGAAATTTAAAGACATGAGTGAGACACAGCTGGTTGAAGAGGAGCTTGAAAATGTCTGTGACTACGATTTTGTCAAGTTTTTCATTGAAGCTATCCACTGGAGGGGCATAGTCACTTCGACCGAGAAAACATTCATAGTAGGAGTGATTCTTGATGAGAAAAAGTGAGCATGGATCTGGGTATTTTCTCTTTAATATGCCAGTTTTCATTGGGGTAGCCTCGAGAGGAGTAATGGTGGTGGTCTGGAAGGATGCAATTGTCAGATTGACTTGGCGTACTTAATTTGCTGCATGCCAATATCAGGTAGCCTCTGATCCTTCTATTAGTCAGCTAGAATAATTCCAAGTGTTGGAGTCTGTCTTCGTCAGGTTCCTTCTTTAAAATTGACACCTATTTCGTTGCTAGTCTCTTTGATAAAGGGGAATTATTTCACTTTCAAGGACATTGGTTGTGCCAACATCATGTCTAATGTTAACATTGGAAAGTGAGAGTTTATTACGTTAAATATGTATTCAAAACAAATGGACGTTCACATCGGCCAACATCTTCTGGTACATGAAGTTTAGCTTCTCCAAAATTCTAACACAAAGTAAATCAGGCAACCTGTTGTTTGTGGATGACAGTCTTTCTCTCATGTTCCCGCGGTGGATTGATTTCTCAGAACAATCAAACACTCACTAACAGATAACCATGATATCTTACGTGTTGCTGATGAAGGGAGCTCAGAGTTACGTCACTTGATGAAAGATCTGGTCCCTATGATCTGTTTGACCGGAAAATAATTTTGAGCAACTCCGTTCACCAGATGATGTAAAAATCAATAAATATCAAGCATAAATTCGATTACAAATAAAGCCTCACGAGAGTTAATAAATATACGTTTTAATAAAAACTTTCGGTCCTTATTTAATTGTTCCCAAAATCTTGAATCGGATAAGATTTTTGAAAACTTCGGGCCGCAATTTGTCCAACTGGGAGGCAAAGATTTGATGCAGCTTGGTGTAGGCTGTACGCAAGATTAGGAGGAAACATCATGCTGTTTTCTAGACGCTGTACGAATTTATGGCCTTCATAACTGCTACAAAGAAGAAGTTTCACAATGCGTGGTAGAGGTGTCTGATCAATCTATGTCAGGAGCATTTTGATTTTTATCTAAAAATTATTAAGTCATAGTTGTTACGGGAGAAACGAAGACATTTTGCTGATCAAAACCTTCATGTATAAATATCATTAATTTCACTGTTTTGGGTATATTTGTTTTACTTAACTTATGAACTTGTTTGAATTATTATTTGCGGACATATTGGACTCCCGTTTCTCTTTGTTGTTCGTTGCAGTTTTTTGCTCCAAGAGATAATAAATTAGAAGGTAATTGTAATTATTATAATTATTGTTGTTAGAACGACATTGGTCGTCTATTTGTAATAAATTATTTTGGTCGAATTTGTGATTTGGAATAAACTTTGGTATCTACTTTGGAGTTTCGTTCTTGGTATAGAAATTTGGGACCGTGAATTACAAATAGACGACAACAGTGCTTCATAAGATCAACGAGCAAAAAACTGGACGTAACAATAGTCAATAGGTTTCCAGCATCGTTCTATGGTTTTATTTGTAACACCATTCAGGATCTTCATTAGTGACGACAGCCTTGATGTCAGCAGTGATCTGTCTAAAAAGTTACTGCAATCATATCATATTTATAGTCTGCTTAACTTTCTGCCTTAGGTAAGCCTTCTATTATTTAATTATTATTTCTGTAGAACTTACAACTAGTACGTTTCAAATGTCTTTAAATAATATGAACGGCAAAAACCTAATGGTAAAGTACGTTTTGGTCCCAACGTACTGTTCTTAGAATCTATTCACCCATCAGTGCCTCCGAATAGAAAAACTGCAACATTAATTAGAAAACGACAAACCGACTCGTCGCTCAAGCCACACTCAACTATTTCTGCAGGGCGAGGCTAGGTGTAGTATCAGGAAGATATGTAGTTACTATCGGGATTCCCCTGTCCCAAGATATAAAACTGGTTTGCTGTAAAGTGGCCACTAGTTGCGTAGAATGACACCACGAATCGGTTACAGACACCTTTATCACTTTTACTTACGGTATAATTATGCAGAATTACGTGGAAAGGATATGTTTTTCAAAACTATATCACACATGAATAATTCACCTGGGTCTACGACTGCTAAATGACTAGACGAAATTTTACGCTACGAAACCATCCATCAATCATTGTTAGACTAACATTAGAAACCTGGAAGCAATGGGCGGCCGTTTCTTCCTGGTCTGGGACTCACCAATATTGCGCACCCGCGACTCATGCACATCGATAGATTCGAACCCTGAATAAGAACACTATATCACTGCAGAGTCTACTGTATTTATCGGGAGGAGGACTGCTTACTTACTTACTTACTTAATGACGCCTGTTACCCCAAATGGAGCATAGGCCGCCCAACAGCAGCATTCTCAAACCAACTCTGTACTGGGCTTC